GCAGTTAGAGCATCAGCCTGTGGACCAAAAGGTCTTGGATTTGACTCCTGGCCAAGAGCACATATCTGGGTTGTAGGTTCAATTCCTGGCCAAGGACATGTACCTGGGTTGTGGGTTCGATCCCTGGCCCCAGTCAAGGAGGCAACCAATCTATGAGTTTCTCTCACATCAATGTTTCTTTCTCTCTCCCTCTTCCCCTACCACTATTTCTAGAAATCAATGGAAAAATATCCTCAGGTGAGGCATAACAAAAAATTAAAAATATAGTTATATTTAAAAAAGGACAATAAGCCTGGCCAGTGTGGCTCAGTGGACTGAGCGTCGTCTCATAAACTAAGAGGTCCAGATTCAATTCCCAAGCAGCACACATGCCCAGGTTGCGGGCTCAATCCCTATGGGGAGAATGTGGGAGGCAGCCAATCGAGGTTTCTCTCTCTCACATACACACACAAAAATCAATAAAAATATATTAAAGCCTTGGCCGTTTTGGCTCAGTGGTTGGAGCGTCGGCCCGCGGACCGGAGAGTCCTGGGTTTGGTTCCTGCTAAGGGCATGTACCTTGGTTGCAGTTTGTCCCCACCCTGGTTGGGATCATGTGGGTGGCAACCACTAGATGTGTCTCTCTCTCTCTCTTCCTCCCTTTCTCCCTCCTGCTCTATCTGAAGATAAATGCAAAAATGTCCTTAGGTGAGGATAAAAAAAAAAAAGTTAAAAAATATATAGCCCTGGCCAGTTTTGCTCAGCGGTTAGAGCGTTGGCTTGCAGTCTGGAGAGGCCTGGGTTCGGTTCCCGCTAAGGGCACGTACCTCGGTTGCGGTTTGTCCCTGGCCCTGGTTGGGTCGTGTGGGTAGCAACCACTCGATGTGCCCCTTTCATGTTGATGTTTCTCTCTCTCTCTCTCTCTCTCCCACTTTATCTGAACAAAAAAATATCAAAAAAACAAAAAACAAAAACATAAGGTCCTCGGGTGAGGATAAAAAATAAATAAATAGCCCTGGCCATTTTGGCTCAGTGGTTAGAGTGTCGGGCTGCGGTCCGGAGAGACCCGGGTTCAGTTCCCACTAAGGGCGCATACCTCGGTTGCAGTTTGTCCCCGGCCCTGGTTGGGTCGTGTGGGTGGCAACCACTCGATGTGTCCCTTTCACGTCAATGTTTCTCTCTCTCTCTCCCTCCCACTCTATCTGAACAAAATATATATAAAAAAAAATGTCCTCGGGTGAGGACTAAATAAATAAATGAGTAAATAAATAAATACATATTATTAAAATATATATATATATTTAAAAAATGTGAAAGAATCAATTACTTTTTTAAAAAGGAAAATAAAGTGGTGATTAATGAGACACGTTTTATAAAAGAAAGCGATTATAAATTCCATAGAACACACTAAGGGGCCCCCAGGCCCTTTACCACATGGCCCCAACAGGGTCCTGAGCTGACCCGCCCAGGGATAGGTTCCAGCACTCAGCCACATGTATGTATGTATGTATGTATGTATGTTTTTATCCTCACCCAAGGACATTTTTCCATTTTTTGTTCAGGTAGAGTGGGAGGGAGGGAGAAAGAAGAAGAGAGAGAGAGAGAGAAACAATGACGTGAAATGGACACATCGAGTGATTGCCACCCGCACAACCAACCAGGGCCGGGGACAAACTGCAACCAAGGTACGCGCCCTTAGCGGAAACCGAACCCGGGTCTCTCGGACCACAGGCCGATGCTCTAACTGCTGAGCCAAACCGGCCAGGGCATTTTTTTAGAGAGAGAACCATCGACTGGCTGCCTCCTGCATGCCTCCTACTGGGGATTGGTACCCGGGCATGTGCCCTGACTGGGAATCGAACTGGGACCTCTCAGTCCATGGGACGATGCTCAATCCACTAGGCCACACCGGTCTGGCTAAACTGAATTTCTTTTTTTTTTTTTTTTTTTTTTTTTTTTTTTTTTTTTTATCCTCACCCGAGGATATTTTTCCATTTTTTGTACAGATAGAGTGGGAGGGAGAGAGAGGAAGGGAGAGAGAGTGAGAAACATCGACGTGAAGGGACACATCGAGTGGCTGCCACCCGCACGACCAACCAGGGCCGGGGACAAACTGCAACCGAAGTACGTGCCCTTAGCGGGAACCGAACCCGGGTCTCTCCGGACCGCAGGCCGACGCTCTAACCGCTGAGCCAAACCGGCCAGGGCTAAACTGAATTTCTTATAGACAAGGTGATTTTTCTCCATTCGAATAATTTCTTTCAGTTGATATGTAAGATAACTTCCATTTAATATAATTACTGGTACATTTTGATTTAGGTTTAACACTGCCTTTGTTTTCTGTTTTTCCTTCTTTTTCCACTCTCTTGCGCTCCTGTGACTAGTATGTACATTTTTTTTTTTAATCCTCACCAGAGGATATTTTTGCATTTATCTTCGGATAGAGTGGGAGAGGGAGGAGAAAGATTGATATGAGAGAGACACATCGACTGGTCGCCACCCACACGACCCCAACCAGGGTGGGGACAAACTGCAACCGAGGTACGTGCCCCTAGCGGGAACAGAACCCAGGACTCTCTGGTCTGCAGGCTGACGCTCCAACCGCTGAGCCAAACCGGCCAGGGCTAGTGTGTACAATTTTAAAACTCCACTTGCTAAGTCTATAGTCATTTTTACTGCACCATGTCGTACAGGCTCTTAGTGGTTGCTCTAGGGATTACAATATCACCTTTTCAAGTAGACTGTAGAAATCTTACCACCATAGAGTTCCCTTACTCTCTCTCCTCTTATGCTAACGTTGTCTACGTGTTACTACAACCACACACATTAAAAACCTGACCAGACAATGTGTCTTTTAATTTTTGCTGTTAAATATTTTAAAGAACTCAAGAGAAGAGAAATCGCCTACTGTAATTATCCAGGTATTTACTATTCTTCCTTCATTACTGATGCTCCAAGTTTCCTTCTGGTGTCACTTCCTGCAGCAATGATTTGAGAACAGGTCTGCTGGAAACAGATTGCTTAGTTTTCCTTTATCTAAGAATACTCGTATTTCACCTTCTTCCCTGACAGATCAGCTTTCATGGGGTAAAGAATTCCTCATAGACTTTAGAATGCTGTACCACTGTCTCCCGGCCTCCATGGTTTCTGATGAGAAATCTGCAGTCATTTCAATAACCCTCCCTACAGATAATCTGTCATTTTTCTCTGGCTACTTTTAAGATTGTTCTTTGTCTTTACATTTTAGTAGTTTAATCATGATGTGTCTGGGCACGGATTTCTTTGGTTTATCCCGTTAGGGGTTCGCTGTCAGATTAATAAGTCTTGCTTGTTAAGTGTTTGAAGTATTTGAGAGATTTCAGATAAATTAATGCAAAACTATAGTTGTAAAGATTAACTATGTAATGGTCTTAAATACTTGGGGAATTTGACAAGTCAAATTCATAAGCTATTAATCAAAGAAAAGAAATAGCAGTAGCTTTGAATTTTTTTTAATCTTCACCTGAGGATATTTTTACATTTATCTTCAGACAGAATGGGAGGAAGAGAGAGAGAAACATCAATGTGAGAGACACATCAACTGGTTGCCACCTGCACAACCCCAACCAGGGCCGGGGATGAACCGCAACTGAGGTACGTGCCCTTGGCTGGAATCGAACCCAGGACTCTTTGGTCCACAGGCCAATGCTCTCACTGTTGAGCCACACCGGCCAGGGCAAGTAGCTTTAATTTTTATACAAAAATACTACTATAAACTCTAGAGCCAATCTGTCCAAGTTCGGATAGTGTTGCCACCACTTACTAACTCCTGACCTTGGGGAATTCCCTAATCTTCTCTGTGCCTCAGTTGTCTCCCTGGTAAAACAAGGATAACACCACTACACACAGTTTTTGTGAGCACAAATGAGTTAATACATATATGTAAAGGTTAAATAAGTAAGAGCTACTAGCATATAGTAAGAGCTCCTACATGCATGCGACCCATTTTTATTTTAAAATTAAGTACAGAAGCTTAAGAAAAACTAACTTTTTAAAGTAAGACTTTAATAAGTTGAATTTTGATTAAAATACAGATATTTGGAAACATTTGTCTTAAACACAAAAGCCTTTTCTTAGTCAATAAAAGCCCACCAACCACAGACAGAGTCGAGTCCACAAGGCCACAAGGTAGAAGCCACAACTCAGTCATGCTTGAGTCTTTCTCAAAAAAAACAAACAAACAGCCACAGATACTAACTAAATGGGTATATTAACTGACGGTCCACTGATACTCGGTGCTCCCCATCTACAATACACAGACATGCTCAAGTCAACCAACACAGAACAGAGGCTGGTTGGGGCCCACAGCGAAGCTCTAAGGCAGTGATCTTATCTAAGGTGTGCATGTTCAGGTAGCTAGCCTAGAGTGACACTAGTCCTTTTTTCATAATAAACAAAACAGAATAATTAAAGATTATTTGAGTAAGTCTGTCAAAGTACTTTGAGAAACACAACATGCAGAAAAAATACCTACTTCCAAAGTTTTCTTTTTAATCCTCACTCAAGGACATTTTTCCATATTTTGGTCAGATAGAGTGGGAGGAAGGGAGGGAGAGAAACACTGACGTGGAAGGGACACATCGAGGGGTTGCCACCCACACGACCCAACCAGGGCCAGGGACAAACTGCAACCGAGGTTACGTGCCCTTAGCGGGAACTGAACCCGGGTCTCTCTGGACCGTAGGCCGACGCTCTAACCGCTGAGCCAAACCGGCCAGGGGTCTGCTAAGTATTAAACACCAAAATATTCTCTTTTAGAGTGATGCTAGATTTTTGTTGAGGCAGGAAAAAAAAAGTTTTAAACACCGATTTTTTTATATGCCACCTCAATTAAAGATGGTTTTAAAGTATTATCTGGGTGAGAATCTAAGGCCATATTCTGGTAAATCAGTAGAAGAAACTGTCCCACGGTGGGACTCACAAGCACGTTAAGCATCACCCCGGGCCCAGCATGCCAAGGCACAGAGGGCAGCAGGACTCACCTCGAAGTTGTACTTCCTCATCCGGTGGAGGTGCCGGCAGTACAGGTAGAGCATACCGGTGCTGCTGCCCACGGCAATGTAGTCCCCACTGGTGTCCAGGGCTGTCAGGTAGACCGCCACAGAGCGGAAACCCTTCTGGATCTTTGTGGGGATGGCGTTGAGGAGATAGTGCAAAGGGCAGAACTCCCTGAATGTAACAGGCTCTGACGTGGATGCCATGGCCACGGTCCCCACGGATGACCTTCAGGAAGGAAAAGGAATGTCGATTGGCAGGCATCGAGGGAAACGGGGGCTACAATTCTTCCCCTATCTGGTCATGCCAAAGAGGAGTCATGTTTGATAGTGTAAATGGGAACTTTCAAGTGGGTAAAAATTATAGCTGGAGCTTAAACAGAGAAAGTAAACCAGCTGTTATTCAGACCACTTTCTTTTAGCATTTTAATTCAAAATGCACTTAATTATGTATTGGCCCCTGTAATTTATATTATGATAAATACTATGGAGGGGCGGAAAGAATATTAAAAACAGTTCTTATTCTCAATTAGCTTATGAACTAGCCAGGGAGGCAAAAGGAACTGAAAATATCCAAAACCACATGGGATTAGGTGAATCTGTGGGTCTTGATGAGGAGAGGTAGAGAGCACTGTGGATTACAGTGTGGGAAAGGCTTTGCTGGAAACACTCTGAACTATGAAGCCCGCCAGGAAGGATGGAATGTGAAAGAAACAGGAAAGACACTGTGCTAGGAGGACCCCAGGCGCAGCAACATGCTGCACTGAGATGGTCCCCGGCTGGAGGCTGCAGCCTGCTCAGTGCTCGGAGCCTCAGCTACACAGCGCCTCTTGCCCGTTCCTCCCTGAGACCCATACCTCTTGGCATTTTGGATCCAAAGCCTCCCTCAATAGATAATCCATACATAGCACATCATAATTTACCAAGTGCTCAGTCGCTCATTTAATCCTTATCCTACTCTATAGGACAGGGGGTGGCATCGTCCCCAACATCTATTTTTTTATTTAATTAATATATTTTTGTTACGGGTGTTTCTCCTTTTTCCTCCATTGACACCCTCCTCCCCTTCCCAACGCTCTGCTCCTCCATTGTTCCCAAATTTTATTTATGTATTTATTTTTATCCTCACTCGAGGACATTTTTCCATTTTTTGTTCAGAGTGGGAGGGAGAGAAAAAAATCGATGTGGAAGGTACACATAGAGTGGCTGCCATCCGCACGACTCATCCAGGGCTGGGGACAAATTGCAATTGAGATAAGTGCCCTTAGAGAACCGAACCTGGGTCAACCTGGACCGCAGGCCGACACACCAACTGCTGAGTCAAACCGGTCAGGGCTGTCCCCAAATTTTAGATGAAGGTCCTGAAGGCCAGAGGCTCACAAGACTTGCCCAAGACCACAAGGCTGAGACTTGAATCTAGGTCTATGTACTCCAAGTTCTGGGCCTTTTCCAAGCCCACAGTCACAGCTGACAGACCAGCAACAGGTGGATGCTTTGTACCTGATTAGGCCTTGAGGGACATTTCAGCCCTTTAGGTCCATGGAGATTTTCAAGCCCCTCTAGGAGAAACTTCTTAGCATGCTGGATTTATAGCCTGTTTCAACTGTGGGTTTTCTATTTCTATAGATCTGACTGACTGACTTCTAAGCCTTCTTCTAGTGAAACCCAGCCAGAGGTCCTTGCATTGGTTGCTCCTTCTACCTGGAATGCTCTTTCTCCTGGTGTCACTCAGTTTTTGCTTCTTCTCAACAGGCAGTCTCTGCTAGAATGTCCCCCGTCCTTCCCGAGGCCTCACCTGATCACCCCCGACAGTGGCTCACTGAGCACCCTGCATCACATCCTCTCTACCCTTTCCTCCCTTCACACTCCCGCTTTCTTTGCCGGCTCTGCGTGGACCCCTCCAGCACCACCAGTCTGTAAGCCCCACAGGAGCAGACCCATCTGCCTCACTCATCCCTCCAGCCCGGCACCTACAAGAGGGTGGGGCACATCTGGTGCACTCAGTAAGTACTGACTGAATGAATGAGTTGTAAAAAAGGAAAATTTCCAAGGAAGGAATGAGTGACAAGAGGGGAAGAACAGCAAAATATTGTCTTTTCTCCAATACGGTCACGATTCAGTGCCGGAATAGCAGTCCCCCAGATCTGTGTCGCATATCCAGTTTTCCAAGCTTCAGATTCCTATGTTGCTTATAATCACAATGGCCAATACAGGCAGGTAAGCAGGGTAACTTCAGAGAAGTTTCCTAAGGGTAATAATAATCACCCTATCCCTCCGTGATGGTTGAGAACACTGACCACCCTCTTTTAGCAGAAGTTGAAGCTTGGGCAGGTTTCGAAATTTGCCCAAGGCCACACAGTTTTAAGTGTTTAGTGCGATAGTAACCAGGCCGATGTATGCTGGTTTTTGTTTTTTTTATCCTCACTCAAGGACATTTTTGCATTTATCTTCAGATAGAGCGGGAGGGAGAGAGGACGGAAGAGAGAGAGAGAAACATCTATGTGAGAGAGACACATCAACTGGTTGCCACCCACATAACCCCAACCAGCGCCGGGGACAAACTGCAACTGAGGCACATGCCCTTAGTCGGAACCGAACCTGGGACTCTGGTCCGCAGGCCAACGCTCTAACTGCTGAGCCAAGCCGCCCAGGGCTTTATAACTTTTTAAGGGCAAGACCAAGTCTGGGTTTGTGCAAGTGCTCCAGAAAGGTGGGCAAGCCCCACGTGACCCAAAAATCAAATGGAAGCAAACTCCAATGAGAAGGTTTCTGACAGACACCAGGGGAAAGCATGCAGATCATTAAGGACGCTGAACACGAGAACCAAAATAACAGCAGTAACAATAGCAACAGCAGTAACAGCTCCCACTGTTACTAACAGAAGCTGTCTTAGCACAGTTATTAAATCCTTACAAAACAGCTGTGAGGTAGGCGCCACTGCCACCTCCATTTTACAGATGAGGAAACTGTTCCCATTTCAACAATCAACCCAACCTTTACAGTCAATAATGCTGCCTTGGTCACAAATACTTCCATTAAAAACACAAACCCTGCCCTGGCTGGTTTGGCTCAGCGGTTAGAGCATTGGCCTGCGGACCAGAGAGTCCCGGGTTTGGTTCCTACTAAGAGCACGTACCTCGATTGCCATTTGTCCCCGGCCCTGGTTGGTCATGCAGGTGGCAGCCACTTGATGTGTCACTTCACGTCAATGTTTCTCTCTCTCTCTCCCTCCCACTCTATCTGAACAAAAAATGGAAAAAAATGTCCTCAGGTGAGGATAAAACAAACAAACAAACAAACAAACCCTGCCCAGCTGGCGTGGCTCAATGCTTAAGTATTGACCCATGCACCAAGAGGTTGCTGGTTCGATTCCTGGTCAGGGTACATGCCCAGATTGTGGGCCAAATCCCCAGTGGGGGGGCATGCAGAAGGCGGCCAATCGATGTTCTCTCTCATCGATGTTTCTATCTCTCTCTCCTCCCGTTCTCTCTCTCTAAAAATCAATAAACAACAACAACAAAAATACCACAAAATCCCATTCACAGCATTCCTCCTCTGGTCAGGATGCTCCCCTCCCTCATTCGTACCATCAACCCCATACACCAGAAGGGGCTAACAGCACCCTAATGCCACCTTGGTGTGCAGTTTTTCAAAAGTGGAGCTAAGAATAATAGTATCTAGTCTAAATCATTCCCTTATCTGAACAGTGACCATAAGTCGACAGAACAATCTGACAACTCTAATGGTTTAAGGATTCCCCCCAAAATCTCTAGGAAGTGACAATTAGTATTCCTACTGTACGATCTATTTTTAAACTCTGGCTACATCTATTATATTTTAACATCGGTTTGTTATTTCACCCATCTATGTAATCATTGGTTGATTCCTGTATGTGCCCTGACCGGGATGTGCCCTGACTGGGGATCAAACCCACAACCTTGGTGAATCGGAATAATGCTCTAACCAACTGAGCTTCCCGGCTGGGGTCCTAACATCTACTGTATTTTTCAGTGTTAAAATCTTATGGCTGAACATAATGAGACTAAGGCAGTCATCTCTCTTCCAGATGAGACCACATCACTTCCCGGCCCCATGCCTGTGGGCCAGCCAGTGCTCTGGACCTAGCTTCATCTCAGGCCGCTCTTGCTTCCCACACTCCACTCTGCAGCCCCGTGAGCTTCCACCTGTCCCTGAGCACGCATGACCCTTCCCATCCCCCACCCCCTACAAGAACTAGCTCTCCAGCAGGAAGCCTTCAGACTCCCTCTGTCAGGTGGCTGGTCTCTGCATTTACAGAACGCTGAGGGCAGTTACCAACAGCACCATCACCGCTTGTTTCTATCGCCTTCCATGGACCTCTTCCAGTCTCTGCCCACATCCTTCCAGTCTGTATAGTCTGTGGGGCTTCAAAAGACCAAGAGAGAGTGTGGTACAACCAACGCTCAACACGTTTTTGTTGAATTATTCTCTCTCAAAACACTGCCAGAATTCCCCAAATACAATAGCCAAAGATACAAGACCACTCTACCTCAGATGCAGCCATCATTAAGCAAAAATTCATTGGTCCTATGTCCAGATCCAAAGTACCCATCATTCACAAGTGGACACGCACTCTGAACAACAGCTCACTTCTACCTGAGCAGTTCAGTCATCAACCCCTCCCCCGACTCCATTGAGCTCCATGTGCTCTGCTGTATCTATCTCCCATGCTTGACCCCAAAGCTGGTTTTCATTAGGTGTGTGACTGTTTCCTGACCTGCTCTTCCCTTTTCCAAGACCAATCCAGTGCCGCGTGATGTGTTTCCTTCCTTTTCCCACAAAGTTCCAGAAGCCGCCTGTCCAACTACACAGGAGCCACCTTCCTCAAACTCCAAGTGTAACTTCTCTAAGAGAAGACTGCAAATCCAGCAGGAGCCAATTTTCTACCTAAAGACAACGTGGCTACAAAACAACTTAAACCCCACAAAAGCTACTTCCTAGTCACTGCTTCAGAAGAGGACTATCCTTATCCCATCTCCCACCCCTCTCCAAGCCAGAGAACTTAAGGAGAGCATCCTCTATTGCCTGTACCTGCTGATTCTCCGGGCTGGAAGCTCCTGAGGGTGGGGTCTGGGGCTGTCTGGTCCACCACAGCATCCCTAGAGCCTGGGACAGTGGCTGCATACAGTGGACCCCAAATAACTACCTGCTGAATGAACAAACATGGGATGTAAGTCGGGTTACCAAAACCCAGAAGGTCAGAGGCTTATCGAGGTGCACTGTAGTTGGGAGTGCAGAAGTGTGGAAACCCTTGCAGCTCAGGGCACCCCAGGAGTCACTGGAGACAAGGGGCTACATGCTGGGGTCTGGGTACGGGGATCTCCCACAACTCCTTTCCTTCAAGTTTACAGACCTTGGCTACAAGGATGTCCACTCCAAGTGCAACTATTCACTCCAGCAGATAAGGTAAGTGTGTGCACTCCAGCTGGTACCCCACATTCCACCAACAGATGGAACAGAAAAACACTCCCGAATGTCGGCGAGAAAAGTGGGACGAACAAAGAGCAGGGAAGAGACATGGAAGTAGCGCCGTCCTTCGTGGAAACGCACCACCCGCCGGGCACCGGGTTTTGCACTTTTCCTGCACTGACCCATTTAATCCTCCCAAGACAGAGGCAGAAACTACGGCCGCCTCCCGTTTCCTGCTGATGAAACCGGAGCTCAGAGCGGCGATGCCCTCGCCGGCGCAGAGCTGAGGAAGGGGCCGCCGCGCTCTGACCTGAGCCCATTCTTTAACCTGCACGACCCCGTCCGCCTCCCACGCCTCAAAACGGGACTGAGAGGGGCGTCGTTCGTGTGCGCACTGAACCACCACTTACTGGGCACCCACTGGGTACGTGCCAAGGTCTGGTGGGCGACGAGGGTCGGGGACAGAGCGCAGCGTCAGGTCGGGGCCAGGCTGCGGCGCCCGGGGGCTCCGGAGCCCGGGGCGGCGGGGGGAGGGGCGCAGGGTGGGCGGAGCCAGGGGAGCCGGGCGCGCGAGGCGGGGTCCGAGGACCGGGTCGTGGACCCGTGCAGCCGAGGAGGGAGGGCGACAGCTGCTGCGCTCGGCGGGCCGCTGCTTTCTGCCAGGCGAGCGCTTCGTGTTAGCGAAGACAGGAGCGGGAAACGGGCGGATCGGGCAGGGCGACCGTGAGACGCTCAGGCGAGGGGACGCCGGCCCGGGAGGCCGAAGAAGGGGCGCGGCGCCGCCCGCCGCGTCGCCGGACTCACCTCCCGCGGCAGCCCCTCGGGACTCGTCGGCCCCACCGGCCGGAGGAGGCGGGGACGGAGGCCGGGCCGCGGGGGCTGCCGGGAGTCCGTTCCCTGGGCCACCGGCCCGCCCCGCCGAGCCACAGCCGGCTCCTCCAGGGGCTAGAGCGGCAGCGCCACAAGTGGCGGCGGGAGGGGCGACGGAAGTGACGTAACTTCCGGCGGTGTGGGTGGGGCCTCGGGTCTCTTTCCTGGGATATCAGCGGGCAGACCATATGGAAGGTGCGTGAGACGGCCCGGTTTCCCGGGCGGCGGGGTGGTGAGTGGTGCGTGCTGGCCCCAGGCCGGGAGCCTCCCGCATCGAGTGGGGTCCGCGCGTGGCCCCAGCCCCGCCCGCTGGCCCGCGCGGGCTCTGCGGTCGGCCGGGGAGCCAGGTTGGCCGAGCGTCCCTGTTTGCATGTGTAGAACGAGATGATATCCGCCAAAAAGTGTCAGCAGATCCCGGCAGGCAGATTGCACCTGTCATTGCAAGTTCGCATTAGCGGAGCACTGTCCCTGAACTCCCCTCTGTCGGGATTGCCGGGCACCGTCCTTCCCGCTTGGACTGAAAGCTGTCACTCAGCGAGGGCTCGTGGTGTGCCGAGCAGTGTTCGTAGTACTTTGCGGGGCTCGGCTCTCTTGGGCCTCGCAGCGGTCCCTTGAAGTAGTTAATATCAACAGCTGGGGAGGGAGGCCCATCCTTCACCTCTGCCCTGTCCTCCGACTCTGTTACTGTTTGTTCCTACTAATCCCGGGACTGTCTTGAAGTCAGAACTGGTTTTGGTTCCTAAGTATGTGCTGGGGGTGGGGCAGACAGATGATGAATCAGATGCGGTCCTCGTCCTTAAGGAGCCCCTACTGGGAAAGAGAACCCCTTACACGGTTCTCAACCTGTGGGTCGCGACCCCTTCGGGGATTGAACGACCCTTTCACAGGGGTCGCCTAAGACATAACAGTAGCAAAATTACAGTCATGAAGTAGCTACGAAAATAATTTCATGATTGGAAGTCACCACAACATGAGGAACTGTATTAAAGGGTTGCAGCATTAAGAAGGTTGAGAACCACTGCGAGAAGATTATGCAGTACAGGTGGTAAGAGCTATTTCTCCATTTAACACGTTTTATTCGCCACCTACTATGTGCTGAGGTCATGAGAGGGAACCAGACCAACATCATCCCCAATCTGCTGGCATTTATAGTCTAATGGGTAATATAGACATTAAACAAGCAAATATACTACACTGGGAAGTGTCATAATGACTGAAATACAGGGTGTACCAGATATCTAGTGCAATGAGTCCTAACCCAACTTGGAGATCCAGGAAAACTTTCTGTGGAAGTGACTTTCTAAAAACCTAAATCAGATGATGTCACTTTCCTACACAAAGCTTACTGCTCACTTTCCATTGACTTGGAATAAATCCAGACTTATCTTGGCCTGTAAGGTTCTAGTTGCCTGACTACCTCCCACCTTCTACACCCTCCCTCTCTCTCTTTCAGTCTAGCCACACTGGTTATTATTTTTTTTCAAACTCACCAAGCTTATTCTCACATTAGGGCCCATGCGGTTGACCATTCATTCAGGTCTCAGCCTAAATGACGCCTTCTCAGGGGTTCTCTGATAACATGGGGATTTCCTAAGTGATGAGAGTAGTTAAGGTATCTTTTGTTATGTTAATGTGATTTTTGGAGTGGCTCTGAGTCACCTAAGGATGGGGGCTGGTTGTCTGGGAACCAACCTTGTGATTAGAGGGTTGGAACTTTCAGTCCCACCCCCTAACCTCCACCTCCTGGAAAGGGAGAGGTGCTGGAGGTTGAATCAATGGCCAGTTATCTAATCACTCATGCCTATGTAATGAAGGGTCCTTAAAAACTTAAAAGCAAAAGGACAAGGTTTGGAGAACTAGGTTGGTGAGATTTCAGGGAGAATGGAGCGCTCAGAGAAAACAGAGCACCCTTCCCATGTACCTTGCCCATGCATCTTTTTCATCTGGCTGTTCCCTGGGTTACATCCTGTAATAATAAGCCAGTAACCCAGAAAGTAAAATGTTTTCCTGGACTTTCCCTTGGCATCTGAAGTGGAAGGGCATGTAGGACTGAGCCCTTAACCTGTGGGATCCGATGCTCTCTTCAGGTAACAGTGTCAGAATTTAGTCCACTGCTTGGTGGTGATGAAAACAACACACATTGGAGAAGTCCTTGTGATAACAGACACTGTGTTCGATACTTGCCATGTGCCAGGCCCTCTCAGCTTTACATGTATTGTCTAATTGTTACATCAACTCTGAAGTAGATACATCGCATCCCTGTTTTACAGATGAGAACGTTGAGGCTCTGAGAGGTGAATTAACTTGCCCAAGACTGCACAACTGTGTGTGTGCTGGACTCCTGAAGGGGCCTCTCACAGAATTTGGACTTTATCTTGTGTACCCTGAGAAGCCTTTGAAGGGTTCTAAGCAGGGAAGGAGAGAGGGCACAGGGGGGCTGAAAGAGCCCAAACAGCCTGAGTTGGCTTTTGGTGGTCTGGGGGTTGCTTCCCACAGGAGCTGGGATCTTTGTGAATCTTGGAGCATGGGTAGAACTAGCTCAGGAAAGGAAAGAACGTTTTAGCAGAAAGACCTGCATGTGCAAAGGCTGCAGGCAACTCCACTTTTTTTTTTATCCTCATCTGAGGACATTTTTGCATTTATCTTCAGATAGAACGGGAGGGAGGGAGGAAGAGAGAGAGAAACATCAATGTGAAAGAGACACATCGAGTGGCTGCCACCCACATGACCCCAACCAGGGCCAGGGACAAACTGTAACCAAGGTACGTGCCCTTAGCAGGAACCGAACCCAGACTTCTCTGGTCCATGGGCCAGTGCTCTAACCGCTGAGCAAAACTGGCCAGAGCTGGCTCCACTTTTCAGGAGCTCCAGTAGTTCATTTTAGCTGCAGATTAAGAGGATTCCAGGAGGTGAGGGTTGACATGACTGTTGAGGTGGAGAGGAAGCCAGGTCCTGGAGGACTTTGGACTTACTCCTGTGTCCTAAGCATGGAGGTCATCTCTGCATCTCTAGGCCCAGCCTTGCTAGTGCCCGGAGAACCACAAAGCACTTGTGAGTCACAAAGCTCTGAACAAATGTGAGGCACCAGCGTGCCTGAGACCAGGTGATGAGAGTGCTTGGGCTTGGGGCGTGAGAGGGTTTTAGCAGGAAGTCACAACTTGACCTTATTCCTAACCTTTGAAAATGGTCAGAGGATTTCCGGTCAAGATGGCAGCATAGGTAAACGCGTATCTCCTCCCACAACCACATCAAAATGACAACTAAACTACAGAACAACCATCATTCAAAACCACCTGAAATCAAGCTAAATGGAAGCCTTACAACTGTGAAATTAAAGAAGCCACATGGAGACTGGTAGGAGGAGTGGAGGTGTGGATGGCTGGTCTCACACCCATCTTTGTGGGATAAAAATCAGGAAGGATACTTTAGCTGTGAAAGTCCTCCCTGAGGAGTGAGGGGTCCCAGCCCGACACGAGGCCCTGAGCTCAGGGTTCCAGTGCCAGGAAGAGACGTCCCCATAACTTCTGGCTGTAAAAACCAGCGAGAATTCAGGCTGAGGCTGCTGGAGCCCCTGGTAGTTCCTGTTAAAGGGCCTGAGCACAGACTTACTTGGGCTTGCACCCTCCAGGCCATAGCTTGTAGGGAGGCAATTTGAAAGGCACCAGAGACATACGGGGAAGAACTGAGTTGTTTGGCATCAGGGCGAGAGCTGGAGAGGCAACTTTCTCCTGGACAGATATGCTGGCATAGGCCATTGTTCCTTTGGTGAGCCCTTCCCCCACAGGGCAGGCAGATAGGCGCCATATCTGGGACTCCAGCAACCTGGCTCGTACTGTTTGCCTCGCCCTGGTGATTCCCTGAGGCCCCGCCCACCCAACTATCAGGCCCACCCAAGCTGTTCCCAGTGGCTTTATCATAGGAATGGCTTTTCTTGGCTCCTGTTTCAGATTTTCTTCAATTCTTTCAAAAAAGCAGCATCTGGCCTCAGTGAGTCCTGTACCTCTCACTAAGTGGCCTCAGTCCTGGCACTAGGAGCAGCCAGCCTGGTTCACAGCTTGGCTTTGCCTAGGTATCTCCAAGCCCAGCACAAGAAGCAGCCATCTGCAAATCACTTTGTAGCTTATGCCTGATGGCCCTGGGTAGAACACAGGCAGTGGCTGACCTTGCCCCAGAGCCAGCACACCCAGTGGACAGCTTCAGACCACAGTGAAGCACCACCACCCAACCACCTCCATAAGCGACACACTCAAGGAGTGCACTCAGTGGGTACCAGAGCCCTGCTGAAGTAAGTCTTGCTCTGTGTGGTGGCCCCCGCACAGCTGATCCTCCAGGGTAGTCAAGTCAGTGGTCAGTGGGCACAGCCAGTCCTTGGAGCTGATCAGCCTGAGTAAATCTCTCCCACTGAAGTGCCAACAGCAATCAAGACTCAATTACAACAGACGGGTGTACAGTCCACATGATGGGGTGCCCCTCAAGGCCTAGCTGGGGTGACCAGGGAGGCTGTGCCACTGGACCCTGCAGGACAACTACTACAATAGGCCATCCTAGGAAACAACTCTACCTAATACATAGAAACAAATACAGGGAGGCAGCCAAAATGAGGAGACGAAGAAACATGTCCCAAATTAAAGAACAGAACAAAACTCCAGGAAAAGAACTAAACAAAACAGAGATAAGCAATCTTAACAGATGCAGTTCAAAACACTGGTTATAAGGATGCTCAGTGAACTTAGTGAGAACCTCAAGAGCATAAAAAAGGACCAGTCAGAAATGGGAAACACAGTCAGAAATGAAGGAGGCACTAACTGAAATAAGGAATAATTTACAGAAAATCAATAGTAGAGTAAGTAAAGCCAAGAAGCAAACTATCAATTTGGAATATAAGGAAGCAAAACACATTCAATCAGAACAGATAAAAGAAAAAGAATTTAAAAAAATGATAGTGTAAGGAGCCTCTGAGACAACATCAAGCATACCAACATTCGCATCATGGGGTGCCAAAAGCAGGAGAGAGACCAAGAATTGAAAATCTATTTGAAAAAATAATAACAGAACACTTGCCTAACTTGGCGAAGGAAACAGACCTACATGTCCAGGAAGCACAGAGAATTCCAAACAAGATGAATCCAAGAGGCCCACACCAAGACACATCATCATCAAAATGCAAAAGGTTAAAGACAGAGAATCTTCAAAGCAGCGAGAGAAAAGCAGTTAGTTACCTACAAGGGAGCTCCCATAAGACTGTCAGCTGAGCACTGGCCGTTTTGGTTCAGTGGTTAGAGCATCAGCCCGTGGACCTATGAGTCGCGTTCGAGTCCAGTCAAGGGCACGTTCCTTGGTTGCAGTTCTTCCCCGGGCCCTGATCTGGTCATGGAGGAGGCAACCAGTCGATGTGGCTCTATCACGTCGATGTTTCTCTCTGTCTTTCTCTCTCCTGCCCTCCCTCCCACTCTATCTGAAGATGAATGCAAGAATGTCCTCAGGTGAGGAATTAAAAAAAAAAAAAAAGACTGTCAGTCGATTTCTCAAAAGAAACTTTGCAGGCCAGAAGGGAGTGGCAAGAGATATTCAGAGTGATGAAAAGCAAGAACCTACAACCAAGATTACTCTATCCTGCAAAGCTATCGTTTAGAATTGATGGACATATAAAGAGTTTCCCAGACAAGAAAAAGCTAAAGGAATTTATTACCACCAAACCTGTATTATATGAAATGTTGACGGGTCTTCCTGAAGGAGAACAACAAAAATATGAACAATCAAACAGCAATAAATCAACAATTGAATCTACAAACAAAATGAATAAGCAGAACAGAAACACACCCATAGATACAGAGAACTTTTTGTTGGTTGCCAGATGGGGGTGGGTGGGTGAAAAAAGGTGAAGGTGTTAAGAAGTACAAATTGGTTGTTAAGACTGACAAACCTCAAAGGGAAGGGGTAGGGGAACAGGAAGAGATAAACCAAAGAACTTAGATGCATAACCAATGGACACAGATAAAAGTATGGGGCAGGCAGGAGTGAGCGGGAGCAGGGAGGAGGTGGTCAATAGGGGAAAAAGGAAGGACAGCTGTAATACATTCAATAATAAAGAGAAATTTTTTTAAAAGCCCTGGCCAGTTTGGCTCAGCGGTTGGAGTGTCGGCCTGGGGACCAGAGAGTCCCGGGTTCGCTTCCCACTAGGGGCACGTACAAAAAAAAAAAAAGAATGAAAGAAAGTAGTCAAAGTGCCCTGGCTTGGTGGCTAAGTTGGTTGAAATGTCGTTGCCTCATATACCAAAAGGTGGTGGGTTCGATTCCTGGTCAGGACACATACCTAGGTTGCAGGTTTGATCCCCAGTTGTGGTGTATGTGGGAGGCAACTGATCAATGTTTGTCTCACACATTGATGTCTGTCTGTGTGTGTCTTTCTCTTTCTCTCCCCCCTCCCTCCCTCCCTCTCCCTCTCTAAAAATCAAAACAAAAAAACAGTAATAATAATAAAAAGTAAAGACATTCATTGAAAGTGGTCAGAGTGCTTAAGGTAAAATTCATGGAACCATTAAGCTGGGAAAGGATCCAGCATCTCTGGTGAATCTTAAAATATAAAAACAAATTTTTTTCTCTTGTTCTGGGAAGTTGCCCAATCATCCATTCTTCTTAGTTTCCACATCACTTATTTGTCCAATAGATGTAGCATTTCAGATTATTTTACTGTTGAGAGTTATAAGGACATATTTACCTTCCAACTATGATCATGAATTCCATAATAATTCTGTTTGTTTTACTACCTCTCAGCAAAGACTCTTGGAAGTGCAACGCCCAGAAAACCTGTTTTATCTGTCAGTGCGAGAAAAATTAAGGACAATGCAGCCGATTGGCATAATTTAATTCTGAAGTGGGAAACCCTCAATGACGCAGGATTTGCTACTGCCAATAATATTGCCAACACGAAAATCAGTTTATTGTAAGTACAGCTGGAGCTCCTCTGAGCACTTTACCCTGGCTGAGCACGAGTTTCCCGGGAGTCTTTTAGTGGGGAAGGGTGGTCTCTGTGTACATAAATAAATTAAGTTATATTAAGCAAAAAAGCAAGTGGTAAAATGATGTATGCAAGTATGAACTGTTTATGTACATTTAAATACATATTGCACTACAAATTCTTCGTGGTTATGTCTGTATGAAATTATAAACTAGACTGGAAGGATACAGGCTTAGTTCATGATACACGTCTCTTCCAGGGAGAATGAGTATTGGAGTGGTAGGTAAATGGGACTTTATCTTCATAAGGTTGCATTTTATCTTATGCTATTGTGATTTAATAATAAGAAACATCTAGCCCTGGCCGGTTTGGCTCAGCGGTTAGAGCGTCGGCCTGCGGTCCGGAGAGACCCGGGTTCGGTTCCCGCTAAGGGCACGTACTTCGGTTGCAGTTTGTCCTGACGTACTTCGGTTGCAGTTTGTCCTGACCCTGGTTGGTCGTGCGGTGGCAGCCACTCGATGTGTCCCTTTCGCATCGATGTTTCTCTCTCTCTATCTCTTCCTCTGTCTCCCTCCCACTCTATCTGTACAAAAAATGGAAAAATGTCCTCGGGTGAGGATAAAAAAAAAAAAAAAAAGAAAGAAACATCTAGCCCTGGCCAGTTTGGCTCAGCGGTTAGAGTGTCGGCCCACGGACCAGAGAGTCCCAGGTTCGGATCCACGCTAAGGGCACATACCTCATTTGCAGTTTGTCCCCAGCCCCATTTGGGGTTGTGTGGGCGGCAGCCAGTCGATGTGTCTCTCTCACATCCATGTTCCTCTCTCTCTCTCTTCCTTCCTCTCTCCCTTCCGCTCTATCTGAAGATGAATGCAACAATGTCCTCGGGTAAGGGTAAAAAAAGAAAAAAAGAAATATCTATTTGGTCTTTCTCCCTGTTCCTGATGCACAGCTCCTAAAATCCTTATAATTTCCTAATTCATAAGAGCAATGGGAGAATCTCTGGTTATAATGTTTAGTCTTTTGTCCTCTAATAGTTCCAGTTCCTGAATAGCTCCAGAGTGGTAAAGGTTAAAGGAGCTTCTTACTCATAACAAGTCCCTTTCAACCATGCCTGCATTTATATTAACAAGGTGACTTTTACAAAGTCTCTAAGGATGACGGCCAGTTGCCAGGGGAACCAGCCAAGCCATTAGAGGGAACTTTCAGCACCACCCCTTCAGCATCACCCCAATGGGAGGCGAGAGGGGGAGGGGTTGAATCAATCACCAGGAGCCAGTGGTTCAGTTCATTACACCTGTATAATGCAACCTCCATAAAAACCCAAAGGATGGGTTTGGAGAGCTTCTAAGTTGGTAAACAACTTGATGTGCTGGGAGGGTGTCCCCACACCCCATCAGGACAGCAGCTCCTGTTTGGGCCCCTTCTGGACCTTGCCCCACGTACCTCTCCATCAGGCTGTTCTTCCACATTCCTTAATACTTTTTGTCATAACCAGTAACCTAATTGGTAAGCTGGTGTCCTCAGTTCTGTGAGTCACTCTAGTAAATTAATTGAACCCGGAGATGGGGTTGTGGCACTCTGATTTATAGCCTGTCAGAAGTACAGGTAACAGCTTGGACTCCTGAGAGAGTCACTCTTGGGGACTGAGCCCTTCACCTGTGGGATCTCATGCTGTCTCCAGGTTAGATCCCATTTATATATTTTTTTTCTTCAATTTCTCAGAGTTAGAATTATACACATATACCCTCCAGCTGACCTATGTCTACAGGCCAGAGTCTAGAGACTTAATTCCTGGCCTGTCCGCTGGCACCACTTACTTCAAACCCATCAGTGCTCTGGGCCTCCGCTGCCTTTTCCTGGTGGAACCCTGCTCAACCAGTCCCACGAGAGGCCCAGCATGCTCTACTTTCATGTGGAATTTTCTCCTTAAGTGTTGACTGTGACCCCACTAGATCAGTTTCTTCCCCATGGGTCACAACCTTCCATTTACAACATGCATTTGTAGCTTGTGAACTCGGGAGTGCTCCATGTCTATGTCATGTCACCCAGCACTGCACCCTCCACCAAGGATGCCACAGGGCTGAAGGTAACTGGCTTATTCTAGTGCAAAATTGAGTAACCAACAGATATATTCACTGTATGTATAAATGAGTCAACACGTTTACCAACACGAAACAATACTTTTGCAAAATTACGTGGATACTGTGTTTTCTTGTTTATCCTAACCCACCCAGGCGAGCTTACGGAATGTATTTTGTTCCCACTCCCGTTTCATCCAGGAGTGACGACAAGATAGAGTTAGAGAGCAGCAGCCCGGCTTTCGATGAAAATGCCGAACAGAGGCCTCGGGAATATAGTAAGGAACTGGAGGCGCTGTGCGAGGAGCTGCAGGCCACCTTAGATGGCTTGGTAAGGTCCAGAGGCCCAGCCGCCTGTGCTCACGGCCCTGACTCCCAGGGGCGTCTGTGGAGCTTGGCCGGCTCTCTGCAGCGTTCAACACCGTGCATGTCTTCCCTGCCCAGACACTGGTTTTTCCTCCTCAGCTTCCTCTGTTGGTCTCTCTCCTCTACCTGTCCCGTAAGACTTCATGTCCCCACGATGCTGTCCTAGACCTTTGTTCTGTGTGTTGTCGGGGCAATTTCTCCCCTTGCAGGGCTCCACAGTAAATATTTTAAGGCCTTGTGGCCCTCCAGCCTCTCTTGTCACCACTCAGTTCTGCCAGGTGTCGCCGAAGCAGCCGGAGACAATATGTAGGCGAATGGCTGTGGCTGTGTTCCAACCAAAATTGATTTACAGACACTGAAATGTGCATTTTATATAATTTTCACATGTCACAATATATTCTTTTGATTATTTTTTCAACCATTTAAAAATGTAAAACCCGCCCAGCCAGTGTGGCTCAGTGGACTGAGCGTCGTCCCGCGGACTGAGTGGTCCTGGTTCCGTTCCCTGTCAGGGCACATGCTGGGTTGCGGGCTCCATGCCCAGTAGGGGGAGTGCAGGAGACAGCCAATTGATGTTTCTCCCTCACATCAATGCTTCTATCTCTCTCTAAAAAGAGAGAAACATCAATGTGAGAGAGACACAGTGACTGGTTGCCACCCACACGACCCCAACCGGGCTAGGGATGAACCGCAGCCGAGGTATGTGCCCTTAGCGGGAACCGAACCTGGGACTCCCTGGTCTATCGGCTGATGTTCCAACAGCTGAGCCAAACTGGCCAGGGCTTCCTTGTCATTTTAAACAGAATATGTTGAATATTGTTACATTTCTTCAGGATACCACTCATTCAGATGTAGGATTCCATCTGCTATAAGGCAGACTTCATAGGCTTAACTGGGTTTGAAAAAGTTTTTCAGCCCTGGCCGGTTTGGCTCAGTGGTTGAAGCGTCGACCTGCGGTCCTGAGAGACCCGGGTTCGGTTCCCGCTAAGGGCACGTACCTCGGTTGCAGTTTGTCCCCGGCCCTGGTTGGTCATGCGGGTGGCAGCCACTCGATGTGTCCCTTTCACATCGATGTTTCTCTCTCTCTCTCCCTCCCGCTCTATCTGAACAAAAAATGGAAAAATGTCCTCGGGTGAGGATAAAAAAAAGAAAGTTTTTCAGATTACAGCACTAACCCTTTTCAATAGCACATCACTTGTAAGATGCAGAATGTTTTCAGAAACACTGAAATCAGTAAATAAATGGTGCATTGGGGACGTCTCAGTAATTTAGCCTTTTCTTTCACATTGAAATGTAATACTGACTTTGGGCTATTTAAATTTTTTTTTCTTTATTGATTTTAGGGAGAGAGGAAGGGAGAGGGGGAGAGAGAAACATCGACGAGAGAACATTGATTGGCCACCTCCTGCATGCCCCCCCACTGGGGACCAGACCCACAACCTGGGCATGTGCCCTGACCGGGAATCCAACCAGCGACCTCTTGGTGCGTGGGTTGATGCTCAACCACTGAGCCTGCCAGGCATTTGGGCTTTTTTTGATGGCCATGGTTTGTGTCCTCTAAATGATTGGTTTTGGTAATTGTCCTGTCTGTCTGGTGACTCTGCCTTCCCTCTCACCCAGGAGGTTGTGCTGTGTTAGGAGACACTTGCCCCGAGCAGGTACCAAGGCATGTCATCAGTACTTTGGACAAAGTGTGTGGGCTTTGTGATAGCTGTTGTCTTTGCTTTACCTCCACATCCACACTGGGTCTCTGGCAGGCGAGTTCTGGACATGGACTCTGGACCAATGGGGATTAACATAGATAGGATAAGTCATTGAAATTTACATAGTCGTAAGCTACTGAAAACTGGCCACTTGTGTTGTTTTGTTTGTTTTTTCCTAAATTAACCCATTCCATTATGGCAAGTGTTTTTGTTTGGACAAAAAAGCAGGTGTACGTATTGCTCCTGAAAGAGAAGGAACTGGGTGGCTAAGTTCCTGTATTGGACTCATCTAAACAGCCAGCAGGGCTGAATACCCACTACTGAGGTCAGGTACAGTGAGGCACTGACTGCCTGGTCGTCTGTCATTCCCATGTGTCACAGGTCCCACCGGAAACACTTCACCCTTGACCTGCTGTGTTTCTTTCTGGTACAAAATGCTTCACAGAATCCCAAAGCCATGTTAGAATGAGAAACATTTCTGATATACACTAATGTGACTTTTTTTTTTTTTTAATCCTCACCCGAGAACATTTTTTCATTTTTTGTTCAGATAGAGCGGGAGGGAGAGAAAGAAAGAGAGAGAAACATCAATGTGAAAGGGACACATCGAGTCGCTGCCTCCTGCACACACAACCCAACCAGGGCCAGGGACAAACTGCAACCAAGGTAGGTGCCGTTAGTAGGAACCGAACCTGGGTCTCTCTGGACTGCAGGCCAACGCTCTAACCGCTGAGCCAAACCGGCCAGGGCCTAATGTGACTTTTTAAATTATTATTAATTTATTTATTTTGTTACAGATGTTTCTTTTTCCCCCCCAGACACCTTCCTCCCGATCCCTCCTCTCCCCGCCCCAGGCTAATGTGACTTTTATAAAATGTAGAAAACCACCTGGCCATTGTGGCTCAGTGGATTGAGCTCCGTCCCATGAACTGAGAGGTCCCGGTTCAATTCCTGGTCAGGGCACATGCCTGGGTTGTGGGCATGATCCCCAGTAGGGGACGTGCAGGAGGCAGCTGATCCATGTTTCTCTCTCATCAGTGTTTCTCTCTAAAAAATTAATAAAAAACATTTAAAATAAAATATAAAAAACCTTGGGAAGGAATCTTATTTGATGCCGTTTGGCATTTCTTTAGCTCACACCTTCTCATTTATGACTGCCCTGTGCTGGCCCCATTCGGAAGGCTGATGGGGAAGAGGTGAGGTCAGGCTTGTCAGGAGCGACTGATGGCTTGCTTTTGCTTGGCCATCTTTGGTTCTCCCCGTTAAGTGGCGGTCTGGTCCCATGGGACTCCTTCCTCAGCCCCACTGACCCGCACTGAGGAGGGACAGCCTGGAGGTGTCAGGAGGTCGAGTGAAGGGCCCGCGGCAGACCCGATGGCCGGAGCCGTACCAGATGAACTGTGGAGCGCCCGCCCTTGGTCCCCCCAGCCCACGGCACAGGCCCAGGGTGAGGGCACGTGACCTGGCAGGCCAGCTGAAAGTGGCCGCTGAGTTTTAGGTGACTGCTGCTCATGGTGAGCTCTTCAGATAAAGCCTGGGCTGCGTCCATGAGAGCCGAGGAGTGATGCCCCTCCCACCCTCGTTGACATGGACAGAGACAGCATGGGTACATGTTAGCAGGGACTGATGGGTACCCGAAGGGGGCCAGGACATGGCACAGAGAAGTAACTGGAGGAACTGGAGCGTTAGCCCAGGAAAGGGAGCGGTAGACATCACAGCTGCCATCACAGTCGGCAGGCTGTCCGGGGGAAAGGTACCAGTCCACTGGTTTCATGAGGCCTCGGAGAGAGGAAGACCCCCGGTGCCAGCAGGAGCACTTTCTTAAAAAGGCGAGTACTGGTGAGGTGCAGAGGCAAACCGGCAGCCAGAGTGGAAAGGGGAATGCAGCAGGAAGCAGCCTCACCTGGCTCAGCTTGTTAATGCCTCGGCTAGTCGTGCCCTGCCTGCTGTGTTCCCACACTTGGGGGTAAGGTCACCCCATGGTCTCCACGGTCTCCCTAACCCAAGTGCCCGCTCCAGTGAACTCATGTATTTTTTTCAGGACACTCAGGTTCACAGAAAGGTGGAGCAGATGGTTCAGAGTCCCAGGCTTGCAACCCACCCGTTCCCTGCATTGCCCAGTCTGTCTCACTTCACTGTGCTCCACGTGTCATAGGTGAGGACCCAACATGGGCATGTGGCTAGGAACTCAGGCTGGGGTTCACCCAGATTCTTCACCTTGCCCTGAAGTCCTCACTCAGTGCCAGGCTCCATCCAGGACAGCACAGTCCATGGTCTTCACGCCGCGCTAGGCTCCTCTTGGCTGGGACACTTTCCCAGACTTTCCTTGTTTGTTTGTTTTTTTATCCTCACCCGAGGATATTTTCCATTTTTTTGTACAGATAGAGTGGGAGGGAGAGAGAGAGGAAGGGAGAGAGAGAGAGAAACATCGACGTGAAGGGACACATCGAGTGGCTGCCACCCGCACAACCAACCAGGGCTGGGGACAAACTGCAACCGAGGTACATGCCCTTAGCGGAAACCGAACCCGGGTCTCTTCGGACCACAGGCCGACGCTCTAACCGCTGAGCCAAACCAGCCAGGGCAGACTTTCCTTGTTTTGATGACTTTGACAGTTTGGAGGACTGGGCAGGTCTTTTGTAGATTGTGCCTCAGTTGGGATTTGCCCAATGTTTTTCTCATGATTTGACTGGGGTTGTGGGTTTTTCAGAGAAAGACCACAGAATTGCAGAGGTTTCAGCAAACTCAGGCAGTTAATAAAAGCATCAGAAATGAGCTCATTTAATGACTCTCCCATCTTTCCTTCCACAAAAGCAGGAGTTTGCCTTGCAATTGATTCCTCCTGGTCTTTCGTGCTAAAAATGAGTGCCATTGGGAAGTCTTAGTGAGGTGGGACACAGCAGACTTTGTCTTCGGGACTGGGAATCCGGTTGACTACTGAAGTAATCCAGATTAATGAAATCATAGCGACTGTCTACCTCCATCTGCCTGGGAGGTTGCTGTACACAGTTAACAGTGTTGAATTACTGGACTTTTGGTCTCGACAGATTAACATTTCTTAGCTTTGAAATCTTAGAGTTATTGAATCTGGGACTGAAATAGATTTTAAATCTTATTCTCATATTCAAAATAAATATCTTTTTAGACCAAAATACAGGTGAAAATGGAAAAGCTGTCTTCAACTACCAAGGGAGTTTGTGAACTGGAAAATTACCATTATGGGCAGGACAGCAAGAGGCCCCTCCTGTTTCACACGTGGCCCACAGCCCATTTTTGTAAGTACTCCTTCATTGGTTCAAGGGGAGGTTAGAAGGGCCTTTGATACCATTAAGGTCTGGTATGCTAAGAAGCTGGCGGGCTTTGAAATTTAATTCAGGAGCATTCATCGGAGGAAAGGAGATGGAGCATCTTAAATAGAGCATTTATTCTTGGCTTTAATCACCTAATCAGCAAAGTATATGAAAAATGTAATTAGAGACCCATGAAACGGTTGCCATTTTTGTCCCTTTAAAACCAGTGGGTAGAATGAAGAAATCTCTCTCTCTTTTTTTTTTTTTTTTTTTTTAAGAAAGATGTTTTGTTTCTTTGTTTTGTTTTGTCAGTCTTCACCAACGACATTTTTTCCATTGATTTAGAAAGAGTGGAAGGAAGGGAGAGAGAGAGAGAAAGAGAAACATTGATGTGAGACACATTGATTGGTTGCTTCCTGTACACACCCTGACCAGGGCCAGGGAATCAAACCTGTGACCCTTTGGTGTGCAGGCCAGTGCTCTAACCACTGGGAAACACCGCCAGGGCTGTTTTGTTTTGTTTAATAAAACTTCAGTGAACCTCACGGAAGAAGACTGCTTAGGAAATGGAACCCATTACTTTAATAAGCTCTATGAAATAAGGCTATTTGTTTTACTTATTTTAAAGAGAGTAGGGGGGGCAAGCATCAGTTGGTTGCCTCCCACACTACTCTGACCAGGGCCGGGGAATGGAACCTGCAACCCAGGTACATGCTCTTGACTGGAATTGAACCCATGACCCTTCTGTCTGCAGGTTGATGCTCTTACCGCTGAGCCAAACCGGCCAGGGAAGATGAGGTTATTTTTAGCTTTCTTAGTTCAAAATAAAGGCTAAGCTATTTGATATTAATTTGAGATCTCACTTCTAAGTGAGGGAGAAGAGGGTGAAATCAGCTAATGTGATGTGTATCGAAATGTCAGTTTGAGGTTAACCTACCATTTGTAATCGTTGCAGGTTCTTAGTTGAGAAAGGTTAGTTACTTTTTCATTTCATGGGATGCATCGTGTTACCTCCTGCTAATGGGCACCAGCTAGGGTGTGTGCACACCCATCGATCCTTGGTCTCAGCTCTGTTGCTGATTCTGGTGTTCAGCAAGGAGCTTTTCAGGGTGGCAGTCTTTCCCAGTCAGGGTGCTTCCTTGAGTCACTGCCATTAAAGGGAGACCCGCATTTCTTACAGACGAGGCTTCCCGCCAGCTCTCGGACATGTACGGGGCGGAGCTCCTCCTGAAGCGCACCATCGTGGAGGAGCTGGCGCACACCACGGACCACGACCTCACCCTGACCTACTTGTCTCTGTGGCTGCACCAGCCCTATGTGCAGAGCAACAGCAAACTGCTTCTGGAAAGCATGCTGCTCGAAACGGGGCACCGAGCACTGTGACTCCTCCAACGGCTTAGCTCGGCCTTGTCTGCTCCACGGGCTTCCACAGTGCCCACAGTGGACAGTCTTGCATGTGGGACCCAGGGCCGCACCCTAGCGTCATGCCTCGGACTCTGGCAGGCCACATGCTGACCTTCTTAGGGTTGTCCAGACTGGACCATCTCACCAGCTCCCTGCAGCCTCTCCAGACACACTCGTTAACTGCTTCGTGCCACTCAGTGTCATCCACATCATTGTGAACCTGTCATCCATGGGGACCTCAGCGTGAAATAAGTGATCCTCAACAGAATGCTGGCATGGTCCTGTTTGTGTGCATCAGATGTATTTTACATGGTTACATCTGCGTAGGAAATCTATACTTAGCTGTATTGTTTGAATTTTTGAGACTATCAGTTTTGTGATTACAGCTATTTTAAAATACCATAGAGTTAACTGGGCAAAGATGGCATCATGGAAATGAAACTCCCTAGCAAAATATTGCCTGTTTGCATGCCGAGGATGTGACCGGCCAGGTGTTGTTTCTTCCATGTCATTCTTCTAGCATAAATCTTATAGTCCGGTGGTCTTTGCCTCCGGACATCAGGGGGATCAATTCTGCCATACTCCCCAGGAACAGAAGTCTAAGAACTTTGTGCTTTGGAATATGGGGTGTCACCTCATGAAACTGAAGTTCTAGCATCCCAGGAACAAGTGCTGCCCAGGGAAGGAAAGAAAATACAGCAAAAATAAAAGGCTTCAGCCCTGGCCGGTTTGGCTCAGCAGTTAGAGCATCGGCCCGTGGTCCAGAGAGACCCGGGTGTGATTCAGTTGCAGTTTGTCCCCGGCCCTGGTTGGTCGTGCAGGTGGCAGCCACTCGATGTATCCCTTTCACGTCGATGTGTCTCTCTCTCTCTCTCTCTTCCTCTCTCTCCCTTCAGCTCTGTCTGAACAAAAAGTAGAAAAATGTCCTCGGGTGAGGATAAAGAAATAAAAATAAAAGGCTTCATAAATGACAGGAATTATTTTGAGAAAAAGCTGGGCTCTCTCACTGTGCAAGTTAACCTATCTAAAGCATTTAAAGGCAACAATTTTTAGAATTTCTCGTGCCTCTGCCTTGGCCGTATTTGCTCAAATGTAACCACATTAAAGCAGACTGGAAACTGCAAGGTTGGTGTTTGGCGGGAATGATGTCCTGCTGCGCAATCCCCTGCTCATTCAGGAAGTAAGCGCTGTCATGAGCCCAGGGCCCCTGGAGGCACGGGTCATCAGCAGTCAGTTTTCTTGTTTTTAATCCTCACTTGAAGATATTTTTCCATTGATTTTTAGAGAGATTGGGAGGGAGACAGAGAGAGACATTGATGTGAGATAGACACATCTGTTGGTCACCTCCTGTATAACCCCGACCAGGCCCGGGGATCGAACCTGTAACAGGTACATGCCCTTGACCAGGAATCAAACCTGCGACTCCTTGGTCCGCAGGCCAACACTCTAACCGCTGAGCCAAACTGGCCAGGGAAGCAGTCATTTTTATGTTTGGGAGGCATTTGGAAAATAAATGCTCTTCAGAGGAGACACTGAATGATTTCCAGGCCTTTTTAGGACATTTCATGTTCTTGATGCCTCATCCTGGACACCCAAGTTGCCCTGGAGAATTAACGGAAAGGTTCAATACTGCAAAGGACAAACAAGTAAAAGAGCTAAGTGAGGAACAAATCCAGTGGCATTTGCCCAGAGATCTGTCACAAAACAGAAGAGGGGTCAAATTAGTGGAAATGATCTCTGCTTGTTGACTTTGCTGAGTTCCAATCATAACACAACTGTAGAAATAATCTGCAGGACAATTTCTATCTGAAAGAAGCGACGTCGTAAGAGAACCGGCATTGGACTTCTCACCATAGTGGCTTAACCACAGTTCTCTGCCTCCAGAAATCTTGCTCAATAGACAGTAAAGGAATATAAAAGTACCAACAAAACAGAATGGGATTGGGGAAGAGTTTGGGGATGAATTCATAATAAGTACCCTTAATTAACACTAAAAACATAAAATTCCAGGAAACAAAAGCTTTGACAAAAGCATGAAAGTAATCACAACATACCACACAAAGTTCAGCTGTGGACATCTGCATGTCATAAGGAGGGAGGGCTGCTTTTTAAAAGTTAAGTCTTAGAAAATTGATACTTTATATGAATGTATGATTTTGTTAAAAATAAAAACTAGCAAAAAAGAAAAAACTAAGCAAATGAAAGAAAACCCTGACAATTGTCTCTAGGAAAAACAAGAGTACAAGAAAATGTCATCGTGCACAGGCTCACCGTGAACAATCTTTACACTTCAGTGTACGAAGCAAGTACTGACAACACCGATGTGCTGCACCGTCTCGGACAGCAGTGCAGAGGGAAGGCATGTGCGCCAGGTCCCCGCATCTCAGTGTCTGCCCGTGGGTAACACCTAATATGAACAAATCAAGGACGTAGCAAGATAGCTGGGGTTTGGACACGTGGAGATAGAGAAAGGTGGTCCTTGGCTGAAGGGAATCGAGGGCTGAGTTTGGGGCTGTCACTGCTCATTGAGGCCTTTTGGTAGCACTTGACATTTTAATCTATGGGCATGCTGTTCCCTAGATGAAAATAAAAATTGATCTTAAAAATATGGACCTCAGATGATCTGGGACTTCCAGTCAAGATGGTGGTATAGGTAAATGCGGTATCACCTCCTCCACAACCACATCAAAATTACAGCCGAACTACTGGACAACCATCATTCAGAACTGCCTGGATAAGGGCACATACTTCGGTTGCAGTTTGTCCCCGGCCCTGGCTGGGTTGTGCGGGTGGCAACCACTCCATGTGTCCCTTTCACGTCGATGTTTCTCTCTCTCCCTCCCACTCTATCTGAACAAAATATCAAAACAAACAAAAACAGAACTGCCTGGAGTTGAGCAGAATGGAAGTCCTACAACTACAGAATTAAGCCACATGGAGACTGGTAGCAGGGGCAGAGGTGGATGGGCTAGTCCTACACCCATGTGTGGTAGACAAAAATCAGGAGGACACCTCAGCTGTGAAGGTTCTCCCTGAGAAGTGAGGGGTCCCCATCCCACACCAGGCCCCCAAGCTCGGTTCCAGTGCCAGGAAAAGAAGTCCCCATCACTTCTGGCTGTAAAAACCAGTGGGAACTGAGGCTGAGGGAGGCGGAGGCTTCTGGAGCCCAGGCAGTACCTCTTAAAGGGCCCATGCACAGACGTACTCGACTCACCCTCTCCAGGCTCCAGCACGAGGGAGAAAGCTTGAAAGACACTAGAGACATATGGGGAAGAACTGAGTTGTTTGGCATTGGGGCGAGAGCTGGAAGGCAGCTTTCTCCTGGATAGACTTGCTGTCAGAGGTCATTGATCCTTTGGTGAGCCCTTCCCCGGGGCTGCAGACAGCTGCCATGTCTGGGACTGCAGCAACCTGGCTCACACTGTTTGCCCCGCCCTGGTGACTCCCTGAGGCCCCGCCCCACCCAAGCAATGCCAGTGGCTTTACCATAGGATTGGCCTGTCTTAGATCCTGCTTCCTCTCTCAAACAAGCAGCATCTGGTCTCAGCAAGCCCCATAACTCTCATTAAGTGCTCATTAAGTGGCCCCCGGCCTGGCAGTAGAAGCTGCCAGCCTTGGTTCACAACTTGGCTTTGCCTAGGCACCCCTAAGCCCAGCAAAAGCAGCAGCCATCTGCAGATCACTTTGTAGCTTATGCCTGGTGGCCCCAGGTAGAACACAGGCAGTGGCTGACCTTGACCCAGAGCTAACTCACCCAGTGGACAGCTTCAGACCACAGTGAAGCACCACCACCCAACCACCTCCATAAGCAACACACTCAAGGAGTGCACTCAGTGGGTACCAGAGCCCTGATGAAGTAAGTCTTGCTCTGTGTGATGGGCCCCTACATAGCTGATTCTCCAAGGTAGTCAGAGGCCAGTGGTCAGTGGGCACAGCCAGTCCTTGGAGCTGATCAGCCTGAGTAAATCTCTCCCGTTGAAGTGCCAACAGCAATCAAGACTCAATTACAACAGAAGGGTATAAAGTCCACACAAGGGGTGTACCTCAAGGGCCCAGCTAGTGTGATCAGGGAGTCTGTGCCACTGGATCCTATAAGACACCTCCAACAATAGGCCACCCTGGAAAGCCTAGGAGACATAGAAGTTCTACCTAATACATAGAAACAAACACAGGGAGGCAGCCAAAATAAGGAGACAAATATGTCCCAAATGAAAGAACAGAACAAAACTCCAAGAAAAGAACTAAACAAATGGAGATAAACCATCAATCAGATGCAAAGTTCAAAACACTGGTTATAAGGATGCTCAAGGAACTTAGTGAGAACTTCAAGGAACTTAAGGAGATCTCTAAGGAACTTAGTGAGAACATCAACAACCTAAAAAAGGACAAGTCAGAAATGCAGGATGCACTAACTAAAATAAAAAATAATTTACAGGGAATAAGTAGAATAGGTAAAGCCAAGAAGCAGATCATCGATTTGGAATATAAGGAAGGAAAATACAGCCAATCAGAACATCAAAAAGAAAACAGAATAAAAAAAAAAAAATGAGGTCAGTGTAAGGAGCCTCTGGGACAACTTCAAGCATGCCAACATTTGCATCATGGGGGTGCCAGAAGGAGAAGAGAGAGACCAAGAAATTGAAAACCTATTTGAAACAATAATGACAGAACACTCCCCTAAGTTGGTAAAGGAAACAGAGCTACAAGTCCAGGAAGCACAGAGAGTCCCAAACAGATGAACTCCAAGAGGCCCACACTAAGACACATCATCATCAAAATGCAGAAGGTTAAAGACAGAGAGAGTCTTAAAAGCAGCAAGAGAAAGGCTGTTAGTTACCTACAAGGGAGCTCCCATAAGACTATCAGCCTATTTCTCAAAAGAAACTTTGCAGGCCAGCCCTGGCCGGTTTGGCTTAGCGATTAGAGCGTTGGCATGTGGACCAAAGAGTCTCGGGTTCAGTTCCCACTAGGGGCACATACCAAAAAAAAAAAAAGAAGAAGAAGAAGAAGAAGAAGAAACTTTGCAGGCCAGAAGGGAGTGGTGGCAAGAAATATTCAAAGTAATGAAAAGCAAGAACCTACAACCAAGATTACTCTATCCTGCAAAGTTATCATTTACAATTGATGGACATATAGTTTCCCACACAAGAAAAAGCTTTTAAAGAAGTTCATCACTACCAAACCAATATTATATGAAATGTTGACAGGTCTTCTTGAAGGAGAACATCAAAAATATGAACAATAATATGGCAATAAATACATATCTATCAACAATTGAATCTACAAACAAAATGAGCAAGCAGAACAGAAACAGACTCATAGATACAGAGAACTTTTTGTTGCTTGCCAGATGGGAGGAGGCTGGGGGGCTGGGTGAAAAGATGAGGGAATTAAGAACAAATTGGTTGTCAGACTGATGAACCTCAAAGGGAAAGGGGAAGGGAGGGCAGGATGAGATAAACCAAATAACTTCTATGCATATATGCATAACCAATGGACATAGACAAGAGTGTGGGGAAGGCAGGAGGAGGGTGGGATTGGGGAGGAGGGGTCAATGGAGAAAAGGGGGTGGGGTGGGACATCTGTAATACATTCAACAATAAAGATAAATTTTTTTTAAAAAAAAGGACCTCAGCCCGGCTAATGTGGCTCAGTGTTTGAGCATCAACCCATGCACTAAGAGGCCACTGGTTCGATTCCCAGTCAGGACACATGCCCAGGGTTTAAGCTCAATCCCCAGTTGGGGGCATGCAGGAGCCAGCTGATCAATGTTTCTCTCTCACTGATGTGTCTCTTTCCCTTTCCCTTCCTCTCTAAAAATCAGTAAAAACTTTTTTTTTAATGGACCTCAGAGGACATTAAAGACCGACTTCCAGGGCCCTCCTCTTCCTGTTCAGCTGTTTCCACCCCCAAAACCTGGTGGACGTGGGGAGATAGATGTGGATGGACCTGGTGCCTCGGGAGCCCGATGGGGGTGCAGCTGCTGAACACGGACTGGGTGCCGTGATCAGTGCTGAAAACAGGTCCTTACTGAGGGCCACAGCGGCCACCCTGTGGAGTCATCCGGGTGGCATGTATCCCAGCGTGTACTCCGAGGCCACTTCACTCAGTATCTCAGTTGTAAGTACGAGGTAGACGAGAACGTTCTTGAGGTGAGGGGAACGTCCACTTGCTTTCTGCGTAACAAGGGCATGTCTGTCAGTGTGGTGCTATGATGACAAAGCCGTGCTACAGACTGGTCTCAGAATTCAAGGCCCTGCAAACACTGCCTTGGTGGGTACAGCACAGGCCCCCCAGGCACAGCCACCCACCCCAGGCACAGGTTCCTCAGGCACAGGCCCCCCAGGCACAGCCACCCACCCCAGGCACAGGCCCCCCCAACAGGCACAGCCCCCCAGGCACAGGCTCCCCAGACATAAGCCCCTGCCCCCCCCCTTCCTGCACAGGCTCCTCGGGCATAAGCCCCCAGGCATGGGCTCCCCAGGCACGGGCCCTCCCCACCAGCACAGGGCTCAGAGGCGCTGTCAGACCTGCCTGTGCCCAGCAGGCCGCTAGCACATGTCCAGCTCGTCTGTGGTTGCTGCTGTCAGAGCCCCCTGCGTTTTCAACTATCTTTGGGTCAGCAAGGGTATTGTTTATTCCATCGTTAAATTCGCTACCCATTTACTGCGGCACAAACACAAGGGTGGAATTAAGATGCGCTGGGTAGTCAATTGAGTGATGTCCTATAAATGGAAAATAAGTGTATTCAGCAGGCCTCAGCTCTGACCTGGCTTGTTATGCTAGTTGACCAACAGAGGTCACCAAGGGACTGGAGCTCTATCTTTATGCCTCACTTTCTTCATTCATACAATGCAAGTGAAGACAACTTGCTTTCCTACTTCCCAATAAAGTGCTGCTCAAGATGGCTGGCTTATTTACTGTTTTACTGAACCCAGAAGCTTCTAGTATGGACCAAGTCTGGTGAAAAAGCAGCTCATCGCCGAGGAGAAAGGGGACAGTCATTTGGGAGCAGGGAGACAGTAACGGTGATGGCACTAACTGCAGTCGTCCGCAGCTTGAGAGCGGACGTCCAGGAGGGATTCACCCCAGGTAACCCTTGGCCGATACGGCAATGAGAAGACAGAAAAAGGCAGATCGTGGGGGTGGGAAGAGACATTATTCTTTATAAATAAAATGTTCACCTGTGTCAGTATTCACATTAGAAAAATATACACTATGTGACATAGGCCCTCTTTGGATAAAATAAATACAAATCTAGGGCTGCGGTTCTGACTCCATCTCACTGTGAGGGCTCTGCCTCCATGGTTTCGAGAGGAACCCCTTTCAGTGGGCCGGTCTGCAGGGCAGTGCCCTCCGCTTCGGTCAGGATGACGATGTCCTCCCCGGACATGATGGAACCTGGATGGGACAAGATAAGCCCATCGGAAGTCTGAATAAATATCTGCTCCTGTCCCTGAGACAATAGCTCATGGCACCCGTTGGTGATTTCGAAAGCCACGGCTTCACCCACAGCAACGACGCTCTCCAGGTCTCTCTGGTCAGCGTGTGTCCCGGTCCCACATGGAAACTGGTCCAAGCCCCCCGCATGGCTCCCAAGACCCCCTTCCGCAGACAGCGATCCACGCAGGCCAAGCTCAGGCCCCGGCTCGGACACGGTGCCGCGGGCACGGTGCATTGATGCAGTGTGCAGGGACAGGACTTTCTCCAGCGGAGGGGCTGCAGGCCCTGGAAGCAGGGCCTCGCCGGAGCTGGACGGCTGGCCGCTCACGTGCGAGCCGGGCACCTGGTGGAGCTCTCCCGTCTCGGCGTTTCCAGACCCACCAGGCAGCGGGGATGCCACTCCTCCCAAGGACATCGAGCTGCTGCAGAGTCCCGGGCTCCATAGGCTGCCCCCGGCATTCAGGTCTGAACAGTGTCCCTGAGCATCCTCTGTGGGTAAGGCCGCCACCTGCTCCTGGGCCAGCCTCCTGGGCTGTCCCTGCTGAGTGCAAAGACTGGGTCCATGGACACCCCGACAGGAGAGGGCAGGTTCTGCAGATCCACTCCTGGCTGCTAAGTCACCAAGTGCTTCCAGCTGCCGACCCGCCTGCACTGCACATGTGTCGCTATCAGAACCCAGCACCGCGTAGCTTTCTTCAGGATGCTGACAGGTGTTCCCATTTACTCGAGGGGCAAAACCTGAATGGCGTGGGAAAAAGGTAATCACGTGTGTGCTGCGGTATGACCTGTGCACTGCACTCACTACCCAAAACAAGCTGTCCAAATTAATCTCCCTGCAAGAAAAGCCAAGAAAAGGGACAGCATAAACTCCCCCTGCTATCTGGACTGAGAGCGTCCCGGTGCAATGAAGCTACAAGAGGGAGTCCAGACCCGCGGGCGAGGGGAGCTGGGTTCGCACAAGTCCGAGTCTCCACTGTTCTCACGAATAAACCTGGTCCCCAAACAGAATTCAGTCATAATTTGAAAGTGGAGAATGCCTCTTTAGTCAGAGACCTTCGCGCCAGGGAGGGCATCAGGCTCAGGAGGCCGTCATAAGTTTTAGAAAGTTTATCATTCTCAATATGCCCTATGTTCAAAGTGTCTAATCGACAGGCTCTGTTTAGAGCAGGGATAAAAGCCAGAATGTGTGTTGTTTTCATACATTAAGGCTTAGCTGGCACTTAGACACGAGTCTCATGAAAGCCAAACCATAGACCCGAGGCGTCCTGCGGCGAAGCCCTGCTCAGCTCTGCCCAATTTCTCGGGCCCCTTCTCACCCACCACCCATCGCCACGCAGCGGCTCTTCATTTCAATATGGAACCCAAGAGAACCTCAAAGACCTAAGATTCCCGGGGGTGAACATGGAACAGTAGAACGTGGGGAAGCTGGGACAACACTCTTGAGAAACCAGAGGGCTCTGAGCCAGGGGGCGCCACCATGACACGCATTTACCCTCACTGGCCGCTGGGGCACACCCGGCTGGCTTCTGCAGGCCTCCACTGCAGGCAGAAGATTCAGGGGGCTCCTCGGGCACAGGGGCCCTTCTGGTCCTTTTCACTGAGGCCAGCCCCTCGTCTGCTGTCTAGGAAGAGAGGACCCAATCAGCTAAGACCAGGAAGAAGCAGGCGGACTGGCGCCTCTTCCTCCTGAAGAGGTGTTGAGAGCCAAAGTCAAACCGCAATAATGGGCACTGAGCGGCAGTGACCGGCACGCCTGCGCCATGCCCACCTCGTTCTCCCTCTTCCTCGGGCCGGCTGCCTCTAGCTCCTCCCCGTCCATGTCTCGGCAGGTGCACGCGTGTGGAAGGCGATCCGTGTGTGCTGCTGTTTCCCCCAGGAACTCTGTGATTCCTAATGACTCGGCGACCTGAGGAGGGCACGGGAGAGAACGCGAGGCCTGCGGTGGGCTCGGAACCCTCCGTACAGTGAGGCGGTGCCTCACACTGAGAGACATGACCAGCAGGACAAAGCTCGATGGAGAGCAGGTGGCGAAACAGCTCGTGGTCAAGCTGGGCAGGCTGTGTCTGTGGGGGACACTGGACAGGTTTACAGTCTAAATGCTCCCTCCACTGTCAGCACAAGCTCAACAATGTCAGTCCGACACCAAGGTCGCCTTCCTGCCCACGATGCCTCCTGGTCTGAATTCTCTCTGGTACCTTCAGAAACATAACCCTGCCTATTCCGGAGCCACATCTCCTTCCCCAGTCGGTGGGCAGGACATGGGTTGGGGAGTCCGGGAGCCCCAGCTAGCTCCCAGCTTCTCTGCTCACTCCTGGGTGACCTTGGCAGCCCCCATCTGGGGCTCCAGCCTTTGTGCAGGTTACGTCAGATTCCATATGCGAAGCAGCAGGTGTAAAGGTCATATGTGGCAGCTGTCGGATTCATGCAGGGACACCATGGAGACAGCACCAAGAGCTGAGGGGCAGGGCAGGGAAGCCAGTGCAGATCAAGGTCAGAGGAGAGAATGGGGGTTGGCACGTTTAGCACCTACCAACCAGAGAGCGTCCCCTTGCAAACTAAGTGGGGACTCTGTCAGAGTCAGTGAAATGCTCACTGCATGGACAGTGGGGATGAGGACCCGAGTCTCGGCTGGGCACAGAGAGGGGCCCCTGCGTGATCCAACAGTGTGGCACATGCTACGCCCAGCAAAGGAGTTTATCCATATAAGTCAAACCGTGTCTTTTTTAAAACATTTCTATCAAGGACCCAATATAGCTAAAGGCAATTTGATGATGACAATGACACTGAAATGAGAAATTTGTCAAAACAACCACAAACAGTAACTGCTGGTCTCTGTGTAGCCCATGCCCCCAAAACCTACATAATGAAGGGAACCCTATTAACTGAGGCACTGACTCTGATCATCAGTGAGGGGGAGGTGTCGACTTTCATTTAGCTTATCTGCATTTCTGAGTTCCCTGAAGAAAGCGTTCCCCACCCTCACCTGCAGAGAAACACCTGCCCTTGGCGGGAAGAGAGCTGAAAAGCGGCTGAAAATGAAGATGTCACTACAGAAATACACATCCTCCTTGTGATCGGACGCCCTTCGGGGGCAGCTCTATGAGCAGACTCCTTCCGTGGAACTATTACCTCGTAATCGTTTATTTCCAGGGGCTCCTGAGAACCCGGGCCAGGACTACGGAGGTAATCTTGACACATTTTCTTAACCATTTTATGCAACTCTTCAAACTCCTTGTATACGGCTGGGAACAAAGGCTTTGCTAGATGACCTTTTTCAACCTTAGTGAAGATAAAGATGACAGAAATGTTTAAGCCCGAGGCAACAAGGTGGAAAACAGTGAGACATTTAAAGGAGGGAAGGAAACGTCCCTGGGGCTGCAGCCTAGGCCTGCCAATGGCAGGCGTGTCCTTCAGTCCCTGGGGAGAGCCCAGTGTGTGCCCAGACTGTGCTTGGTGAGCAGCACCAGAATGGGCCTGGGGAGGGGGGATGGCAGAAAGGCCTGAGGTCAGGCACGTTCCCAGGCCTGTGTGTGGGAGGAGGGCCGGGCCTTCCCACCACGGGCAGCGGTGCGGGCACCAGCTGGAAGTGTGACATGTGGGCACAGGTAGCCTGGGCTGCATCATCACAGTGGGCTCACCGGGGAGCAGAGCCCGGCGTGGGAGAGCCCATCAAGGGTAGGTGAGTGCGTGGATGCCGAGGCCGTGGGCAGGTCAAGTTCAAGCTGTCAGGGTAGTCCATGAGGGGCCTTTCTGAGACGCCCAGGCCTCTGGCAGGACCTCCCTTCAGCTCTGTCCTAAAGGGAAATGATTCCAGAAGGCCCACCTCTTTCTAAATGAAGGCTGCCTTTCGAAATAACTTCTCATCATCCCTAGATCATTGAGAAGCATGAAGAAGACTCACCTTCATCAGAAGAAATTCATATACGGTTACAACCTGAGCCAGCTGAGGCAGAACCAATTCCACCAGATCCTCCCGGTCACACTGGTGAAGAAACTACCAGAAGAAAGTGTTTTACATCTTTGGAAGCCCCCAAGAATCTCCCATTAGCTAATAAGTAGGTTCAACAAAGAACATGAAAGACAAAGTCCCCCAAAATCTCAGCGATGAGGCAACTCTAAACTCGAATCGTTCTGCTGCATTAAATATCTCAATTGTTCACCGTTAACCAAGTCCTGTGATAGATCTGGACTCGAGTCTGACTCCCCCGTGACAGCCCTGAGCACGCAGCGGATACCAGGTTCTGGATAAGGACGCAGCGTTGGGGAAACGCGCTCCCTTCTCTCCGGGGCTCCAGGGCTCACCAGCCAGGGCCAGAGACAAAAATGCAAACAAGTCCCGAGGCAGCCACAGTCAGGACACCAGGGCCAAAGTACAGGTGGGAGAAGAGGAGGACCCAAGTGACAGGTGACAGCAGGGCTGGGTGGGTATCAGCGAGAGGGACACGGAGGGCATAGTCCTCGAGGCTTAGTGACCGCTGGATATGGAGAAGGGGGTGTGAAAGGGAAAGGGGAGCCAGGGATGCTGTGAGTTCCCAGCTGATCTCCAGGCAGACCCTTGACAAGGTAGGGTGGGTCAGGCAGCCAGCTGTGGGGAATGTCTGAACTCGGAGCTGCAGCTCCGGAGGGGTCTGAACAGGATGTATGAACGTGGGAGTCAGGAGAGGGAAGATGGGTTGAGAAATCAGAAGGATGGATGAGATCATCCAGGACAGCAAGGTAAGGGGACGCAGACAGCCCCTAAACTGAAAGGTGCACAAGGCTCAGGGAGATGGGGCTCAGGGACGTTGGAGGAGCAATCACTGAGGAGCCGCAAGGGCTGGAAGGGGTTCAAAGAGCAGCAGATGGTGAGGAAACAGAAAAGCCAAAGGAAGACCTTTCATTTGCAAGACAAGGTGTTTAACTATGACTTGCAAAAGCCCTTAGAGAAAAATGACCAAGCTCCATGACGTGTGGGAGGTCAGAATGTGGGTGTTACCTCCCCAGGCCCTGGCCTGCAGCAGATAGGGCACCTCCTCAGTTCTCTGCTTCACACTCATGCCCGCCCGACTGCTGTCACTGACTGGTTTGGCTGTCATCTTTCCCCCAGGGTGGGCCGTGTCTGTCTTGTGCACACGGTCCCCTCCACACCCAGGACGGAGCCTGATACTTGACGGACATTTGGTGCATACGTTAACGCCCGCTTCTGGGGGTTCTCCTGAGTCAGCACGGTGCTGTTCAGAACAGCCCTCAGCTCTCCGGGTGCCAGATACAACTAAACCAGCCAGTGGGTCGTCGTGTTCGAGTCACTGTTATACCGAGCAGACTGGTCTCAGGTGCTCCATCACACACAGACACCAACACCCAGGATTCGGATGCTGGATCTGCCACCTGCAGGGTGACCTTGTGCAAGTTATCAGCCTGAGTTTCAGGTTCTCGGGCCATTAAGTCGAGATAGTAATTATCATGGAACCAGTGAAATGAGGTGCTCCTTAGCATGAGGCGCAGGGCTGGGGGCTGAGATGCCACGGGGAGAACCCCAACAGATGGCGGCTGATTTGATGCTGATGAGTGAGTCGAGCCAAGGACCACCTCACCTTCTGTTCCTAATTAACACGACCCAAAGCTAGAACCCGTAACCTCATGGAGCTTTCCAAGAAACCCACTTCCCCTTGTGTGTAGTTCGCAGGACCTGGCCCGATGGCGCTCTCGGGGCCGGTCGACTCACTAACTGACCTCGCGCTCTCTGCCAGCTTTCACTTCTCCCGCGTAGACGTCCACCCGGCCACTGCCAGGCAAACAAACGCGTCCTGGCCAAGGGCAACCGCAGCAAGTCCCACTTTCCCAAGTCAATCCCACTAAGTTCAGTACACCTACTTTCAAGGGGCTGCAGTGGAGATTCCTGGGCTCAAAACCTGAAACATGCTCTTATACCTTGAAACTTTTTACAAAACACAAAAACTGCCCTGGCCGGTTTGGCTCAGCGGTTAGAGCGCCCACCTGCGGTCCGGAGAGACCCGGGTTCGGTTCCCACCAAGGGCATGTACCTTGGTTGCAGTTTGTCCCCGGCCCTGGTTGGTCGTGCGGGTGGCAGCCACTCGATGTGTCCCTTTCACATTGATGTTTCTCTCTCTCTCTCTCTTCCTCTCTCTCCCTCCCACTCTGTCTGTACAAAAAATGGAAAAATGTCCTCGGGTGAGGATTAAATAAATAAATAAATAAATAAATAAATAAATAAATAAAAAACACAAAAACTATTTCTGCTGTTTTCTAATGGCTTCCAAGAAAACAGAGGTTATAATTTTTCCAAAACTTATCAAGGCAAGCAGCTCTTGCTATAGGTAAGGCACTCTGGTCATTTTGTACGTAAACCTGAAATGACTTCAGGTAATACTACCCTTGAATTTACTGCATACTTCAGCCAATTACATTCCAGGTGAACTCTATCTAGTTATCTGGGTAAATTCAGAAGCCGAGTCGCGAATGGCCACGTACCATGCCGAACAGGTTTCCAGAACAGGGTCTAAGAGCGACGTACCTCCGTGAGCCTGGCTCTGCTCCTGGCCACTCGGCTCTGCTCCAGATGGGCTGCGCTGGGCTCCGCGGGGGTCGTGGAACAGCCCCTTTTAGGTCCTGGGTGTCTCTCTGATTCCATGAGGGCTGAATAACTTCCACCTGCTGGTTCGGATACCAACGCCTCTTCAGCTTCTACAGACTGACCATTCTAGATGGTGTCGGAAGGGGCAAAACGGGGAGAGAACATGCCCAGAGTGTCACTGCCAGTGCCCCAGGAAGCACCCCTGTGGACGGCTGCCCCCAAACCCGACCTTTACCGAGACCCACTGTCACGTCAGCCCAGGGTACACTGCGAGCAGCTTACTGACCAGAGCTGAAGCACTGGCCGTGTTCCCAGTGAACATGCTCCCTGAGCCATGCTGCCCGGGACAGAAGACACCCCTCGTTTAGCTGGCAGTGGGGCCAACAAGGTGGGGTCTCAGCTCCCCCAACACGATGACTTGCGTTCTGCTCGAGCCTTTGCCTGAACCCCCTCAAACACCACACAGGCTACTTTAAGGACGATGAGCAGCAACAAGGACATCGCCACCAGATAGAAACGTTACCTGCAGGCCACCCCGTGCTGACCAGGCCCCGTCCTCACTTGGCAGAGCTGGTGTGGCCAGCCCTGGGGATGGCAGGCCCTGGGTCACGCTCCCATTGGCTTTCTCAGACAGCGACATCTCGGGCTCCGGTTGGCCGTGGCCCGGATTAAGTTTAAAATGCCGGGCCAGTCCCCCCTTTCCTATGTATGACTTCTCACACGTCTCACACTTAAAGGTTTTGGGCCTCAGGGAGCAGCTCGCCAAGTCGAAGAGCGCCAGCTGCTCCCTCTGCTCCTCGTCTTCTTCCACACTCAGTTCTGAGTAATCGTCAGAGTCGGACAGGTGACTGTCGGCCAGATCCTCCATTTTTATGAATTTATAATGTTTGGCTTTATACTTGGGAGGTCGAGATATCCGCCCGGAGCGTGTTTTCACTTTTAAAGACTTTTTTAGTTTCTCAGTGTGCTCTGTATGCACGTTGGAAATAAATAAATTTGCTGAACTGGATGAAACGGATGTGACTGCCGGCAGGGCAGAGGCTGACCCAGGGGCCAAGGTGGTGGCCAGTCCGTTCCGAGCCTGGGGAGCGATGGCTCTCTTCGCAGGGACTGGTCGGAGGGCGGGCAGCGGCCTCTGTACCAGCACCTGACCAGGGGGCTGTGGGGAGTTACTCCGGACACTCGGCTGCGGCTGGGTGCTCAGGAGGGGCTGTGCCCTGAGCAGCTGAGGGCTGGCGATGCTGAGCCCCAACATGCTGCAGCACCTCCCGAGCGGCTGGCTCCGCCTGGCTGTCCTGGGCTGGATGGCGGCCAGTGGGGGCATCGGCCTTTCCTGGCCTTTCGTTTCTCCAGGTGTTACCTTGACACAGATGGTTTCCAGTTGCTTAAAAGAAAAAGAAGCATTTAGCTCATCAGTGTTTCTGCAATTCTGCTCTCATCTTAAATCCACTATTGGATTTTTTCCTAAATTATAAAACGCATCCCACATATATAAAAGCCTGTGTAATGTATCTACACTGTTTATAGTGATGTTTCTGAACCTTTCTGACCAGACCACAGTGATATATTTTACATCATATCCATAGGTTAGTATGGAAACATTTGCTTACATAAATATTAAAAGTTCATGAAACTACTTAGCATTCCTACATTAGTGTCTTCTGAGAGTATCTATTTCACATTCCTTTTCAGAAAAGACTAGTCATAATCCATTGATTTCATGACCTGTTAAGAAATAGCCTTCCTGCCCTGGCCGGGGGCTCAATGGTTAGAGCACCAGCCCTCTTAAGAGTGGTGGGTTCGATTCCAGTCAAGGCATGTACCTCGGTTGCAGTTCAGTCCCTGGCCCTGGTCGGGGTTGTGCAGAAGGCAACCAATCGATGTGTCTCTCTCACATCCATGTTTCTCTTTCTCTCTCCCTCCCACTCTATATAAAGATAAATGGAAAAATATCCTTGTGTAAGGATAAAAAAAAAAAAAAAAAAAGCAGCCGCCCAAGTGGACTCAATTCAGTATGTAGGCTCACTTTTTAAGTTTTTAATGAAATTCTGGAAATCAGAAAAGCCATAAAGAACAATGTACCGCCCTGGCTGGTTTGGTTCGGCAGTTGGAGCGTCGCCCCGTGACCAGTCCTGGGTTCAGTTTCTGCTAAGGGCACGTACCTCGGTTGTAGTTTGGCCACAGCCCCAGTTGGGGTCATGTGGGTGGCAACCAGTCGATGTGTCTCTCTCACATCGATGTTTCTCTCTTCCCCCCTCTCCCTCCCACTCTATCTGAAGATAAATGCAAAAGTGTCCTCGGGTGAGAACAATGTACCCCAGGTCCCTGCCGCCTACCTTGAGACACACCACATCACTAGTACAGGCTAGCCCTTTGCAGTTCTCCCAATCCGCACGCCCTTTTTTTCATTCTGCCCCAATATGCTGTTTACCATTCTCAGGCACTTTTTTTTTTTCCTTTACTGATTTTAGCGAGAGAGGAAGGGAGAGAGAGAGGGAGGGAGAGGGGGGGAGGGAGGGGGAGAGAGGGAGAGAGAGAGAGAGAAACATCGATGAAAGAGAACATCAATTGGCCGCCTCCTGCATGCCCCCCAATGGGGATTTGGCCCACAACCTGGGTATATGCCCTGACTAGGAATCAAACAGGCGACCTCTTGGTGCATGGGTCAACGCTCAACCACTGAGCCACACTGGCCTGGCCTCAGGCACTTTTTATATTATGTATGTAGATATCCCTAAAAACATGTAGTTCGGTTTTGACATGTTTTTAATCTTTATATAAGTGCCTATCATCTTCTACAACTTGGTGAGACTTTAATGGCTCTGTTGCTTGTGAAATGCATGAATATTGAGGTGTGTAGCTCTCGGGGGTTCATTTTCTCTGCAGTATGACAACACTCCCACTGATGGACAGATGGTCTCCAATCCTCTGCTCTCCAATCCACTCTGAAACTTCACAGATGTGCGTGTATGCACATGTGTTTCTCCAGGGCACACACCTAGGAGTGGGGCTACATATCTTCAACAACGTAAGTTCCTGCCCTCACAGAGCAGAAATAAAGAGCATCTCTCTCCAGGGACAGAAGAGAAACAAGCTCACCAACCTGAGTAGGCTTCCTCAACCCCAGCATGACTGACATGTCGGACCAGTGACTCTTTGTCATGGGGCTGTCCTGTGCACTCCAGGATGTTAAGTGGCACCCCTGCCTCTATCCACGAGATGCCAGTAGCACCCCCCACATTGCAACAATAAAAACACTGCCAAATGTCTCATGTCTCTTGTGGGGCAAAATCACTCCCAATTGAAAACCACTGATTTGGGGCCACCAACAACAGGCCCTTTTTAGACTCAATCTTTTACCAAATGGAGGGTCAATACAAATTACAATTTGATTTACTTTACATATCTTTTTTTTATTATTATTATCCTCACCCGAGGACATTTTTCCATTTTTTGTTCAGGTAGAGTGGGAGGGAGAGAGAGGAACAGAGAGAGAGAGAGAAACATCGATGTGAAAGGGACACATCGAGTGGCTGCCACCCGCACGACCAACCAAGGCCGGGGAAAAACTGCAACCGAGGTACATGTCCTTAGCGGGAACCGAACCCAGGTCTCTCTGGACCGCAGGCCGACACTCTAACCGCTGAGCCAAACCGGCCAGGGCAACTTTACATATCTTTTAAGAATCACATTTGAAAGAAAGATCTCTTACCCTTTGAGACTACAAGGAGGGACCTGGAGAGTATTATGCTAAGTGAAATAAGCCAATCAGAGAAAGATAAATACCACATGATCTCACTTATTTGTGGAATATAATGAACAAAATAAGCTGATGAATAAAACAGATCCAGAGACATGGAAGTACGGAACAAACCTCAGAGGGAAGAGATAAACCAAAGAATTTATATGCATATATGCACAACAGACATCAGTGTGATAAAGTGGGGGGCGGGAGCAGGGAGGAGAGTATCAGATGGGGAAAAAGGAGGAACATCTATAATAAAAAAAATAATAATAAATTAAATATTAAAAAATAAATAAGAATCATATTTGTTTCATTTTACTATCAGTTACTTATATTTCTCTAAGGTCTTGGGATATTGCCTGATAATGCCTTTAAACTCAGGAATGCACACACACACACAAGCACAAACAAACACACTAATGTGCATGCACCAAACCTTATTGTGTAGGGTTACCACAGTGGCAAAAATGGCAAGATTTCAATCTATGGACACTAGTTTACCACATGGGTATTATACTCGATACTTTGTTACATCCTCAGTTAGCAGACTTTCATTAAGTATCTCTGGGTGCCAACACAGAAACAAAAGCAAAGTCCTTGCCTCGCCCTTAAGGAGGTGGGTAGTTTCCCCTGCCCTGCCTCAGTCACCTGCAGACCTGCTGAATCAGGACCTCCGGCCCCGAAATCTGGGAAATCTGCACTTTCAAAGCTCGGCTGCAGATTCTGAAGGCACACTAGATTCCCTAAGGAGTGCATACAGGAAGTGCCACCGTGGTGCAACAGGTGCAGTGAGAGGCAGGAGGCAGGGACAGCCCAGGAGGGGTGGGCTTCCCAGAAGAGGTGGCCTCCGATGGGGCCTGGGGGGCTGAGTAGAATTTTTGCCAGGTGGAAAGGTATTCTAGGTGTAATGAAAAACAACAGAGCACGACATATTAGAGAAAACCAGAAATGTTTCTGTGGGGCAGGAACAGGAAGGATGGGAACCAAAATCTGACTAGTGGGAGTGGGTGTCCACTTGGTCTGTGCCTTCTGATCCATGCCACCCCCACAGAGTACCACATTCTCTAAATGCACCCCCACCCCATCCCCAACAATGCCTCTCTTTTTCCGCATTTTCAACTGGGACCCACCCTTCCAAATCTAGTTCAGATGTGGCCTCTTCCACAGTTGCTTCTGATCCCCTCAGCCAGAAATAACCTCTTTCTCTAAATGCATTTAGTTCTTCACCGGTGTCTCCAGCTTTCTGACCGCACTCAGACTTTATCTGAGTCCTGTTTTACCTCCCTGGTTAGATTATAACCTCCTTAGGGGCAAAGTACACATCTGGTTTGCCTTTGTGGCCTCCGAGGCACAGCTGGGGCTCAGAGAGTATTAGCTGAATAGGCCGCACGATTCCATTATTGTGAATTCAGGTAGAATTTACATCATCCCAATTAAATTAGCTATAGAACACAATCGTACCCCCTAACTCTAATCGTTTGCTTTCATTTGATGGAAAATTTTACTTTTGGACTTCTTCCTAAGTTGCCACACCAAACCCAAAAAGCCGTGGCCACCTTCAACAGGCCCTGGAGCACCCTGGGCAAAGTCAGTCGACCTCTCTGAGCTTGTTCCTCATCTGTAAAGTGCTGGTACAAAACTTCTGTGTGGCTGCTGAGAACTACACCGTACCCAGCACAGTACCAGGTGAGGGGCAGTGTCTCTGCAAAGCGGCCACCGTCCCCCTTCTGACTTCAAGACTTGCTGTGCTCGGCTTATGCGGGAGGCATGTCTCCTCAGCAGAGTAAGAGCCAGAAAACGCATACAATGAGCCATCCTCCTGCAAACAAGGAAGCCAAAGGCCAAAGAGGCTGAGCTACCCAAGGTCACACCTTTAGGAAGTAGTTGTCTTCTCAGACTTTAATAAGACACCTTTCCAGTCTTGATGATCAACTGGGTACAAATGTGAGGAGCCAACCTCACCCAGTGGGGGCAGGGGTACAATGATGATTGTTGAGTCTATTGTCTGCCTAGCTCTTCCAGTCTGGCAAGCTGGGGTGAGAAGCATCAGGTCGTTTCAACCCCAGCGCTGAAAGGGGACCTGGGCTTCGGGCGCTACACTGGGCCCAGAGGGAGACCCTGTTTAATTCCCAACCTCCTAGTAACCAAGAGCTGTGTGGCACTGGAAATAGTGGCGCTGAGAAATGAGGTTTTGTGGTACGCAGAACGCTTTCCCTATTCATGAAGTGCATGGCAGGCGCGGTGTCCTGACGGTGATCAGAACGGACTTAATTCTGCCCCGAGTCGCAGCACCTGCCACCTGAAAAGTTCTCCGCGTTGGTTCCTTTCAATCCATCCAGTCTCAGCTCCAGTGTCCGGCCTAGGGCGGCTCACTCGACAGCGGCCCCTGGTCGCTCCCTGAACCCGTGTTCCTCACTGATGGTGTGCACACGGTTAAGTGCCCAGAAGTGCGGAACGGACGGCAAGGGCCTGCAAGGAGGGGCCGCGAGCGCAGCGGCGGCAGGAGGGCCCCAGGCCGAGGGCCAGCGAGGGCAGGGCTCCTAGGCGAGGCGCGCTGGAGGAGCTGCAACGCGCGGTGGCGGCGGGGCTGGCGTGCCGCCCCTCGAGA